GAATCAATTGCTACCTGAAATGAGCGTTGATGCCAACAAATCGGGTAAGCGAAGATGCAGTATTCCTCTCAAGAACTTTTTTTTTTTTTTTTTTTAAGGGCTAATGACACGGTTCTGCTTTTTTCACGTGCACGCTATGTTCCTAATTTCCTGAAGTGCTGTCAGTGCTGAGTGGATTAGTCTTAATAATGTTGCGCTCAGAAAGTGTTTGCGACTGGCATCAAAGTGCTTCAGCGTTGATGTGTGCAGTGCTGTTTTTGTCAAACATCCTGGCACTGTGACTCTTTTTCCATAAATACCATTTGCAAAATTCCGGTTTTCTCATTACTAGCTCAAGTAGCTCAGGGTTTCACTCAGCGTGCCCTTACTAGTCCATTAGATAAATCTGTAACTATAAACATTTGCAGAGTTGGAACCAAAACCCAACAAAAGCACACTTCATGCTTTTGCTCGGAGAGCCTTCCTCTCCGTGCTCGCAGTGGCAGTTCTGCACAAGTGACTGCAGAAGTCAGTCACTCGGGTGAAATGGCCTATTAGCAAAAGAAGAGTATTAATCTCAGAGTGGTGGACAGAACACGTTCACTTTTCTGACAGCGTATTAATATCTGGCGGGCCTTTAATCAGGACACAGTGTCAGAGGATTATTTTAAGACCTGTCAGAACCGCTGGGCCACTCCTCTCTGGATGAACCAAGATGAAAGACAGACTCTCCAACATCAGACAGAAAATGAGTTCATTACTGTAATTAGGCCTCTCTCCCATCTCGCCTTCGCCATTCCTTCCTCCTGTTCACCAGGCCTTTTGTCTTAAACGCCCATAATGGCGATGCATTACTCCACTTAGCGAAAGCAGACCTCTCACCCCTTTCCATCTGCTGTTTCACTTGTGGAGACCAAAACAAAAGAAAGGAGAGAAAGAGGACAGAAAACACACACTCTCCCAGCAGGTCACACAGGAGCACTGATTCTGCTGACCAAGTCGCCTGTGGCACCCTCACTTGGTGGAGGAAGGTGGGGGTCGAGACATGGTGCGGGTCGTTAATCACTGTCAAAGGGAAATTGGCTAATAGAAGAAAGTAAAGAGAAACACAGACCACCATGTTCACTGGGTTATCCTGTCCAGGGCAGCTCACCCTGGCTTGACCCCAAGCAGCAACACAAACAAGGAGAGGCTGGACTTTATGAACTTAAATAGGCTAATCTGCTGTTTCAAGAGACTGGCTTGAAAGACAAAAACTCAGAATAGATTTTTTTTTTTCCTTAAGTGTTTAAAAATGAGGTGTTGTCCTCTTATTTTTAGCCCCTCAACATTTTTAGTTGTTCAAGTGCAGACGCGATGCTGCAAACAGCGCTAATAAACGTCAGGCTTTGATTGTTCTTTGCTCTGTCTGTGTTGACAGGATTTCTGTCTGTTTCTCTCTCAGACTACAGTGAGAAGTCAGTCATGCTGTTTTGTTGTCATGCACTGACATTACAGTATGTCAGTTTCTTTGTTCCTCCTGTCCTCAGTCATCCGTTAAAAGCGTCTATTGGAGTGTCACCACTGATAAAGCTGTTTGTGCAGGTGGCGCATTTTGCTGTCACTCGCTCTAATTGCGAGTGTGAAAAAACAGTGTTCAGTCGACGTCTGGGTGTAGGTCAGGAGACTGCTCCCTGTCATGCCTTTAAAGGAGACTTGGTATTAATTTTGGTTGACCAGGAAAAATCTAAAATGGCTGTCTTGCTGCAGGAATAGAAATATGGGTATAGCTACTTAATATTTTCTTCCCCCGAGGTTCCATGTTTGTTTTGGCTAGGGGATATCTCCCATGTTGTCTTGAGATAATGGATGTATAGTGTTGCAAAGCAGTGGATATCTCTTAAGTATTGGCTTACAATTCACAAAGACTTTAGGGATAAAGTTAGCCTTTAAACAGACTGCTCTAGATCTACGCATGTAGGCTGCATCCAAGATTGCATGCTAACATGCTATTCAGTACACAGAGTGTGATGTAGGAGTGAAACCTAACTACAAGCAACAGTAACAGTGGTATGTGCAACGCATACCTTTTCCAGACTTTGTTATTGTCACTACACTGCAGGCAGACGTGCATTTCATTATTCATTTCCAGCAGAATATTGCAGTATGCAAGCAGACGACGCCAAATAAGAAAAAATATAAGTGAAAGGGAAATGTGGTAGTCGTATGCATAACCCTTGGTGGTGGAGAGTGCCCAAGGACATTTAATAACCCCCAGTTAAAGTGTAAAAATAAGGTTTTAGTTTGCTAGATGTAATATCCTTTTTAGCGTATATTCATTGTTACCTACTTTCCCTTAAATGAGGTTTGGGGGTTATTATAATGTCTCAAACTGACAACACAGCTCTCAGGAAGTGAGGGTTTACGTGCTGAGCAGCATGAGAGCAAAGCGCATGATGCTGAGTGCAAGAGGAATATACAGGAATGACTCTTAAACTCAGAAATGACTTGCTATTTTGCACTTGGCATTGGTAAGCCTTTTGAATGAGTGTTTAGTTAAATGCCTGAAGGGGGGGGGAAAGGGATGTGGTTAAGAAATGCCTTTGACACCATCACATTTTGTTCTAAAACATAAAATATGCAAGTAAAGCTTTTTACGTCTCTCTGAGATGTTTGTTTGCTAACGAGACTGCAGAAAATTGCCTGAGACATTCAGCAGCTTTGGAGGCTCAGTGATGGGGAAGATGAAGTCATTAAATTGTGATGTAGTTCATTTATAAGATAGCATTAGCATTTTACTTCTGGCAATTGCATTTGTTTCAAAAAATCATAAAAGTTGCATTAATTGGAGATTATGTTGCTGAACAAAATGCCAGTATCACAAACTTTTTATTACCCATGAGTCGCTTTTTCCCTGCAGTAATCCATAAAAGCCTATTAAGAAATCCCATTGGCTGTTTGTCAAGGAAACCAGGGTGATGCAAACTTCCGTGTTGGCCTACAGAAAAATTCCTGCAGGATCACATGGAAGTACTGCTATGCACCTTGATCTACAATGTCTTTGTCTAATTATAGCTCAGGATTTATTGTAGAAATAAAGTCATATTTGCTACAAGATCTGCAGCTTTGGCTCTTTGAAGACGGGCGTTGTCTGTGATTAAAAATAAGTGGCTTTGTTATTGTTCACCACACGGCAGTCAGACACATACTTCATTATTCATCATTTGCCATTTGTAACGGACAAACATATTTCCCACAGCAGTTCTCTTCACTACATTATGCATGACGCAACACAATTTCCTGCCTTCATTTTTAAGCCCCTTGTTAAATATAGTGACACGACATGCATTTTCCTGCTCCTGTTAATAAAGCCGTTCTCATAACAACCCAAGCCCCCGGTGGGAGAGGGAGGGCTGCACATAGTTTGGCTGTTGTTGTAACTCAGAAGTCGTCATTACCAGCCTGTTCCTACACATTTAGGTCATGCATGCATTAACCTGTATTCGGCCCAGGCAGAAGTGAATACTTTATTATTAAAATGTTTCCAACTCGTCCCAAGTGTATTTGGTCTAGTCTGGCTTGCAGCTAATCTTGATGTGGCCCACATTTTCTTCCTAAAATAGTTTAGCCCCCCTCCTTAGCAGTAAATGACAGAGAAATGTAAACAGTTGTCTGGAAGCTGTAGCGATCATATTAAAGGCCAAGCGGATGGAACTGAGAGAAAGACTAGGACCTTGGGCCCATATTCCATCATTTATCATGTTCACAATGAAACCTTTCAAAGAAAGACGCTTTAACAGAGCTTCCCATCTTCGCTGAAGCGAATATTGGGGATTTGGTCCATGTTCTCTTTGATGGCAAGGGTTTTACTTGATAACTCAAGGTGTTTTCACATGATTGCAGTACCAGAAGAAATGAAGCACAGCACTGGCCCCAAAGAACAAGAAAAACGCATTTGGGTCAGTGTAGAAAGCCTTGCAGTTTCTACTGCAGTGTAGTGTGATCTACAATGCAGAAGTCGGTGTCAGTAAAGAGATGAATCCAGTATAACACCTCCGTCACCTACCCCCTCCTCTGGAGCTACAACACAACACATAGCATGGGATGAGATTGATGAGAGAAACTTGCTTGTTTCTTCTTGGAGTTTCATGAGTATCTTTATTACTTTGTCCCAACCCGTACCTGCTTTTAAAAGTCTGATAGTCGATGTTCTGCAGCATTATTTACAGATTAAGTGGAAGCCACGTGTTTGTGTATTTTTAACATCTGAAATACCCAGTGGCTTCACTCTCCTTCTCTCCGTCCTTGAATGTTCAGTCTGCTGAATCTGATATGAGCTTTTTCTTCCCTAACAGAATTAGCATAGGCCAAACTTTACCCTCTGAAGAGGTGTGTGTGTGTGTGTGTGTGTGTGTGTGTGTCTTACAGTTCTACTCTGCTTTTTCGTTTGTTTTCTTTTGTCACAGCCAGTTTACCTCATCAAGTCCTTGTTAATTTTCCTACTAACCAGATCAGATAAAAAGGCAAAGTGGAGCTGGTGTTGAATATGCATCAGTTCTCCAACTATCCCTCCTGTATAATTTGCCGGCTTGATGATGCTGCAAGCCGTTGGATCAGATACTGGTACATGCGACCGTTTAGTTCAACATCTGCCTCTTGTTGCTGTAATTTGCTTCACCTCCATCTGTTAGATATAGGCTAGAAGCACCATCCATGATATACATCTATCTAGTTATAAACCTATAATGGCACTCTCTCTACTCCCAAAGATGCAAATTACTCATACTCTGCGATAAGCTCGGCGTAGTTCCAAACCTGAAAGATCCCAGCGTAGCCCGTGGTGAGAGTTTATTACAAAGATAACTAGGTACAGACAATTTGGGTCAGCAGTTTTTCTTTTTAGCTTAGCTGATTGTGCCATATTTTGGAGTCCTGCTGAGAAATAAAATACTTGTTTTAAATGAAAATGTCTTTTCAAAGCCTTTCAACCTGCTCGCAGTGCGCTAAATATTTTTTCTTTCTTCTGTGTTTCTGTGCTATAGATCTACCACCTCCAGCTGTCGTTATTCATTGGCGACACGCTGTGAGAGAAGGCTCCGCTCTGCTGTGCTACGGCGCGCCCCACTCACTCGTCCTTGACGCCCAAATGCTGTTTGCCAATTGTCATGCCACCCGTCCTCTGTGAGTTATGACGGCAGCTTCATTGACTCAGGAAAAAGGCTGCTCCTTGGCTCACCAGTGAGCAAGTCGCATGATGAAGGAGGGTCCTGGAAGTCTGCTCTTCAAGGAATCTGCCAGCAGGATATGAGTATTTTGAGCCCTGTGACAGCTAACAAATCTAACCTTGTGGGAATTGTGGGAGGCCCAGAAGAATACTCCAGAGTCATGCAGTCAGAGGAGCTATTCAGCAGGAAGCTCAAAGCCTTGAGCGATAGCATGGGACCTCCAGCCTCCAGCATGCAGGGGAAACCTGATGGTGCAGGCAAAACAAATGGTACTCCGGCAATGCCTAAAATGGGTGTCAGGGCCAGGGTCACAGAATGGCCGCCAAGAAAAGACGGATGGGACGGGCGGCCTTCGCCTAACTATCAGAGTGTGATACCCGTGTTTCAGAACGGCCAGCAGGAACACACTGTGGAAATACTAGAGCAAGGTGAAGCAGTCTGTCTGGAGGTGGACTACACTGACAAATACACGCTGAGTGACTTTCTCTGCCACTCTCCGCTGAAGGGTCTGCACCCTATCCGTCAGCGGAGCAACAGTGACGTTACCATAAGTGACATCGACTCTGAAGACGTAATGGACCAGAATGCCGTCAACCCAAACACTGGAGCCTCGCTGCACCGCGAGTACGGCAGCACATCCTCCATCGACCGCCAGGGCTTGACTGGGGATGGCTTCTTCACCATGCTTAAGGGCTACCGAGTTGAAACCCTGGACCACCGCAGTATACCCCCTCTGGGTTTCCCCGAGTTGCTGCGCTGTGATGCCTCGCTGTCCCCCAGCTTGCAGACAGCAGCACAAATTGCAAGGGGTGAGATAGTCCACATTCCAGGCTATGACTACATAGACAGCTCCCTACTCTACAGCCGGGAACGGGAGAAGTCCTTCATGAGACGTCTTAAATCGGAGTCGTCAGAAACATCACTGTTCAGGAAACTTCGGCCCATAAAGAGTGAAAGTGACGCACTGCGGCTCTCAATCGAGGACGACCGGCGACCACTCAGCTTCCAAAAATGCTTCGCCCACTACGATGTGCAGAGTGTGCTTTTTAACATCAGCGAGGCGGTGGCGAGCAGAGCTAACCTGAGCCAGAGGAAAAACACTACTACCGGTGCCTCGGCCGCCTCAGCTGGAGCCGGAGCTGGTGGAGTGTCCGTAGTTGGAGGCGGTGCTGGACCTGGAGCAGGAGCCGATGGTGGAGCAGCAGGATGCAACAGTGCCAATACCCCCATGTTTGAGTCTCCACTGGGCAGCAGAGAGGACTTGAACCCAAAGGAGAACCTGGATGCAGACGAGGGGGACGGGAAGAGCAACAGCTTGGTGCTGAGTTGCCCGCACTTTCGCAATGAGATTGGTGGCGAGAGCGAGAGGAAGATCTCCCTCTCCAGAGCCAACAGTGTCAACTACAGCGGTTTGTCAGAGAGCTGCTCTTTCGAGTCATCCCTAAGTTCACACTGCACCAACGCAGGAGTTTCTGTGCTGGAGGTGCCTCGAGAAAACCAGCCAATCCACAGGGAAAAGGTCAAACGCTACATCATCGAGCACATTGACCTTGGAGCATACTACTACCACAAATTCTTCTACGGGAGAGGTAAGGAGCTAATTTCTGTTTTTACAGATAGTTAAAAGTGATGATGCAGCAGGATTTGTGTGACTCACTGTTGAGGACTATTAAACTTTCCAGGCCAGCTACATTTTTATAAAGTAAGACTTCTTCAGTCACCTGTGGGGAAGCTAGTTCCCAGATGGAACAGCCTCATCTCACAGGGTCAAATATCTCAACGTCCCAGTTGTTTTTTGTACAAGCACATGAAATGAAGTCCAGAACAATAGCAGGCTTGTGTTGGGTGCGAGGGCGTGTGTTTCACTTCCTCAGCAGAGGAGCGGTCATGTCCTCCCTCTGATATTACTCCGAACCCTGCGGAGAAACTGCGATTAGTCATGTGAAAAAGAGAGAGGTGAGTGAGAGGGTGTACTGCAGCTGTTCCCTGCAGGGACTAAGAGAGTACGAGGTCTCCTCATATGAAACTTTAGGGTCAGCAGAGCTACGCCAAGGTCCCAGTTCTCCTCATTAAAACACCTACGAGACGAATGCTGGAAATACCGTGCTGACCCCGACCCATCGCCGCATTATACATATCTGTTTTTCCCACTTCTCTGTGCAATCTGTGCTCGCTGGTCTCAGCAGATAGAGTTACCCGTCTTAAGCCTGCCCCCACCATAGAAAACAGCTGCTTCACCTTTCACACTCCAAAATGCCTTAACCTCTTCAAAAAGACACTCTGAATAAAAATCTGTCTCTGAGAGACATGTTTATAATTGCTCAAATGCCTTGCTAATACTCACACCAAAGCTGGGTTCTGGATTTGGGTTGTGCATTTATTTAGCCTGCATTCACAGCAATGCAGGCCTGTGTATAACAGGGCATTTTCATGAAGACCTTAGTCTTTAGGGTAGGATGCCTCTTTCACAGTATGGAAATGTAGCCACTGCCTTTTTCATTTTTTTAAAATAAGGTGTTTTATTGACTAGACAGGTCTGTCATCACCTGCGCTTCACAGCAAAGACACACTCACACAAACATGACTACGTGTCACTATTTCTCAGCAGGCTTTCATCAACCTGGACTGAACATTGATCCAATTGATTGCCTAAAGCCCTGCTTCCCTTAGCAACCGGAGTGGTTTTTCCCCTAATGGACACAATGCTTCCTTCACACAAAATGGGTCAAGCTTCACTATGTACAGGTCATGGTCACATTAGGTGTTTGGGTTGACACTGAGATGTGCAGAGGGCAATGTAAACCATCTCTTACTGACATGCAAGGCTTGAAATTAAGCTTGGAGCACTAAATGTACAGAAGAAGGGGCTCACAGTGTTGGACTTTCAAAGATTTTTTTTAAGGTGTTTCTGTGGTGTGGATTAACAGCAAAACGAGAAGGGGGCATTATTTGACATGAAAAATTAAAGTCATCCAATTTGCAACCTTTGGCAAATTGTCAGCACCATGTGATGGGCACCGCTGACATGCTAAAGAAATGTGTTGACAAAAAGCTTTCCTCTAAAGTCAGCACTGTCTGACTCACTGTGCTCCTGGTATTTGGATGCCTTGAGACCTCCATTGCTACACAGCCCCCCCCCCACCACCACCACCACCATTTGACCATATGCCTTACATTTCCCTGCAGAACTCTGTCCCTGACAAGCATTCGTCAGACAGTTAACCCTACTTTCCCTCCATACAGATAATTTATTATTAATGCCGATGTGCGTTTTGCTCCACTGTTTATGCTACAGTGACAAGAACCACGCTATTTAACACAGCTTGCACTGCATGGCGTGGATGTAATATCGAAAACTTCTGCAGAAATCTCTTTGTTAATGTCACTGCTTTGTGGACCCTGCTGAGGTTTTTCTTTTAGCTGTTGAATCCAGGTCTTTCTCCTCAGCTTTAGCCTGGATTAAGGGAGTGTTTGCTCAAGGCCCTCTTATATGTGTGCCTACACACACTCATGCGCACACACACACATGCACATGTACGCACGCATGCATTGTGTGTCAACAAAGAAATTAGTACTGGTTCTTATGGTGCTTAGAGCTGAAAAGACTAAAGCCCAGCTAGTAATCCTTGTCGTGTAGTGAATTTTTCATTAAATCAGCACAATAACTGATGGAAAGAATTAACGACCGTATAAGAAATTTGGCCAAAAGACTCAACTCCTTTGGAGCGATACTATAAGGAGTAGAGCTGGCATTCTGCCCATCATTATTATTATTAATTTACTCTGAAAATTAATGTCTAGACCTCAGGGTGTCAAAGGGGAAACAACCACAGACTGTCCATAAATGAAAAAAGTATTCATCCTTCAGGGGCCATAAAGAGGGCAAGGAAAAGTAATGAGAATCTGCCCATCACATTTTGATATTTTCAGCACACTGGAGGGGTGAGGAGGTTACTGGAAACATCAGATTTACCCAAAGCCATGAAAATCCCCTGGAAATTTCCTGAAAATCTTGCCTTGGGTTTTTGAGCAAAGTAGATCGAAACATGAAATTTTGAGTGTGCACTCAATAAATGTTTTTCTGGGATTACACCAGATTTACTAGTTTTCATGCCATGATTGTTGATATAACTGATGGATATATAGACCAACATCTTCGCAGTGATTCCCGCCCCAGTCATGTGATCCAATCTCTACCAGTATTGAATGTTGGTGCGGTGTTTTTCTAACACCATTCTTACCCACGTGGTCATCTATCTAATATGCATACGAGTACATGCCATTTATAAAGTGCAAAGCTCGACTTCTGCATCATTCATTTCTAGCATGAGAACAAAGTCAAGGGTTGCTGCTGCAGTAGTAGTAGTCGTAGTAGTAGCTGTGGGAACATGACTTATGGGGCAGAACAGTCCATTAATTTAAAATGACAGAACAACAACAAGAGAAAAAAAAAGTTTGCATGTTCTGTGGGCGTCCTGAGCGTCTGCTTCATTCAGTTATGAATGTTATGCGTCATGCATGCACTTCACTTCAGAATAGAAAACTGAATTAAATTTCTTTTGAAATGACCTGATGTATTATTAAGCTCATAAATGTATTGATGCAGACTTATATTAAGACATTATGTCATGTCTGTACTTCAGTCTGCATGTGTCTGCATTGTGCAAAACTCAATGCCACGTGGAGCATGTGGGTTTTATTTATTTAGTGCCGAATTGCAGCAGCAGTCTTATCAGTGCTTTATTACAAAGCAATGGCCAATGACTCTATATAAGCATGTACTTGGTGATGCTGGGGAAGAAAAAATCCCTTTTTATCAGAAAGAGACTGCTGGCAGACTCAGGCTCAGGGACACAACAGCATCACACAGTAGCTGGAGATCCATGATGTGAACTCTGCTCTTGCTCTACTGGATTGAAATCTGGTGACTGTAAAGACAATTTGAATGAACTCAGTCATGTTCAAGAAACTAGTTTACGATGATTTGAGCTTTGTGACATGATCCATTATCCTAAAGGAAGCAGCCATCAGAAGGTGGATACGCTGTAGGGCATAAAGGGATGGACATGATCCGCAACACACTCAGGTGACATTTAAATGATGTTCAGTTGGTACTAAGGAGTCCAAAATATGGCACGAAAATAACCACATACCCCCAGCCTGAACCACTTGAGATAATGCAGGATGGAGTAATAGGCTGTAGCTTCAGTTTTATGTTGACTGGAGTGGCCCTCGGTGTGTTCTGCTGCTGTAGCCCATCTTCAAGGTTTAATGTGCTGTACGTTCAAAGAAGCTCTGCTGCATTGCTTGGTTGTAAGAAGTGGTTGTTTGAGTTATTGTTGCCTTCCTGTCAGCTCTGAACATTCTCCTCCGACCTCTTCCATCAAGAAGGCTTTTTCACCCAGAAACTGCTGCTTGCTCGATGTTTTTCCCCCTCCTTTTCAGACCTTTCTCTGTAAACACTTGAGATGGCCATGAAAAAATCCCAGTAGATTGATAATTTGACAAATACACATCCCAGCTCTGATAATGCCACATTCAAAGTCACTTTAATCACCTTTTACCTCATCGTGGTGCTTAGTTTCAACTTCAGCAGGTCGTCTTTGCCGTGTATACATATCTAAATGCATTGAGTTACTGCTATGTGACTGGCTGATGAGATCTTTGTTGAACAGATGTAACTAATCAGCTCGTCTGTGAGTGTATATAGGTAAACAGATAATCTACTGAAACCACAGCAGTAATTTGATTACGTGTTTTATTAAAAATCTGTAATTTATTATTACTTATATTTAAGCTTTCTTTCTTTCACCAGCTAACATAATGTCTGATAACATGCATAACTCTCATTTAATTTTATATCTCTTTCTCTCCCTCCAGAGCATCAGAATTATTTCGGTGTAGACGACCATCTTGGACCCGTGGCAGTCAGCATCCGCAGGGAGAAGCTAGACGATGGAAGGGATAAGGAAGGGACGCAGTACAACTATCGGGTCACCTTTAGAACCAGTCAGGTAACGATAATACACTGATGTGCACTTTTCGCTCACTGCTTACATTATGGATGCATGATTGGAGAACCTTCATGACCTGTCAATTTATTGAAGAATTGTTTACTAGCGCGAACATGGATTTTTCATATTTCTCATATCACATTCAGTGAGACACGTTAAGGTCACTCGGCCTGCGGCTCAGTCAAGCAGTACAAGAGTCCAGGAATGCTTCAGTACCCCCGAAAACAACAGGAAACTTCTCTGCCCTCTTAAATCTGCACTAAGGTGTCCAGTGATTCGGTGCCAGTTGTGACTCAGTTGGCCATTAATGCAAATACTGATACAGTGTATCAGAGGTGTGTAGTTGCCTGCCTTCGCTCACTTTCACACACCCCGATGAACACACAACCTGATTAATCCTAAAAAACGGAGAGGCAGAGTCCTGGTGTCCCTGGTGGGACCGTATCGTCTTGATTGATGCTGGCTTGTCTCATTCACTGAATAATTCAGGTGCAACAGATGCGTCAGGCAGGAAAATGTCACTGATATCCAGTGCCCTTCTCGGTTTAAAGCACCACTCCCACGATAAAACAATGTATCTGGGTCATGGTAGCCCTGCAAGTGGCACGCAGGCAGTGTTTTAACTCCTCGACCGCTGGAGCATCTATTTGCATGTACTCCTGTCATTTAGCCTCATTGCTCTCTCTGCGCGACCTGCCCCACATCGCTCTCTCTTCCTTCCTCTGCTATATAAGTCTACTTTTCGGAAAGCCTTTTTATTGGACCGCAGTTGACTGCTGACATGTTAACAGGCTGTGCAAATGGAAATTTGGATGTTGTTGTTTTGAAAGTGTTTACTGGCACACAAACATCTAGTATTCAGTTAGCCTGTCTCAATTATTTAGAATTTGAGTTCCCTAATGCTGTCCAGAGTCATAATGTAGTCATTACCCTTAACACCAGTCAGCATATGGAAGCATGCCTGACCCAACCCTATCACACTGTACAAGTAGGAGTTTATATGACTGTTAACTTTACTGGACAAATCCTCACCATCTGTCTTTCCTGCCAGCTGACCACCCTCCGTGGTGCCATCCTGGAGGATGCCATTCCATCCACGGCGAGACACGGGACGGCCCGCGGGCTGCCGCTCAAAGAAGTACTTGAATACGTCATCCCTGAGCTGAATATCCAGTGTCTGAGGCTGGCCATGAACTCTCCCAAAGTCGCGGAACAGCTCCTCAAGCTGGATGAGCAAGGGGTGAATAATACATTGAGATGTCCTCTTGAACCGTGTTTTGAGTGCTACCACAGATTTTTGCTGCTGCTGCTGATTTAACGGGGTAATCTGAGGTTCAGTGCCTTGATGATTAATACTTGGTGTCTTGCATTTTAAGATATGTATACATATGGTTCTTCCTTTTTCTCTTTAAGACACCCCCCCCCCCCCCCCCCCCCCCAAAAAAAAAAAAAAGAAAGGGAAAAAAGAAAAAAATTGCGTAAATACTACCATTTGTAGTTTTACGGGGTGATGCATTACATGCAGGACTACTACTTGTTGAGACGAAGTGACTCACTGTGGAGTCATAACTGTGAGGCTGCCAACCAGCACTCCAGGAGGTCACTGCATCTGGACAAACAATAGTGAATCACACAACCTCTTCACAAAACCTAGACAGATTACGCTAACAAGGTACAGCAGGTTAACAAACGTGCATCTCTGTATGTGAAATCTTTCTCTGAGGAGGGAAGAAAGCCTCGTCTGTCCAGAGATTTGCCAGCTGTTTAATTTTAAAGCCACCGCAGCCACATATCAGAAACGAAAGATTGTTTTGACTGCATTAGCACATCACGCTACATATTTCAGGCGTATGTGTCTCTATTTGTGACATTTACCTCAGCTATAGAAGGAAACTGGGAGGGATTAACTTCAAATAGCAGGAATCTTTGTCCTATATACGGGCTGCTTGTTATAGATAGATAACACAGACTCCTGGGCCGAGGTGCAGACAATATCACGCTTAAATAGAATCAATAGAAGTCCTGTACTCTCTGCAGCCAGCACCATCTGTTTTTGGCACACTTGTTGTGCTGATAGGACACTTGCACACAAGTTAGAGTAACTTACTTTTGACAGCCTACTTTGCCTGAGAGCAGGAGATTTGGTATGCTGCTCAGACGGTGGAGGGTGTCATCTTGCATTATCTCTGTTTGAATAAAATTGCTAATAGTGATATGGGCTCTCTATATTCACAGCTGTCACAGATTCATTGCGTGATCGGAAGGCCTTTAATTTCTCATGTAATGAAACTGGGGAAAAAAAGATGGAATGGAGAGCGGAAGGATTAGCCAGGGGTGATACTTGTTTCACCATCAGAGAATTGTCTGCTTATTAGTTTAATTACATTCGTTAGCGTGCGCCCATCCTTCCAATTGACAGGGGAAAGGTTCTTATAATAGAAAGTGTCAGCCAAGACCCTTTTCTGTGTTAGGATTTCGTTACACACATAAACAAGAGCAATGAAGTGTCCTCTCTAAAGCAAGTTAAATGCACTCACGGTGGCATGCTCTCTGTGTCCAATTATGTCAAAGTAACTTTGTAAATAAGTGCTTTGAGGAAGTTCTTCCCACCAGATGTTACAGGGGTTTGTTCACCTGCCATGTGACTCCCCATGTCTGCAGATAAAGAGTTTGATAGATGATGAAACTGACACATGGGAGGCAAAAAAAAAAAAAGCAATAAAATAATCTCAAGAAACTGCCTTCAGAGGAGGAGAGCCCAGGCTAAGTGGGGCTTGAAGCTCTTCCAGTTGGCACTCCTCTGCGCAGACCTCAAACCAAAAGCCCAGTGGAAGCCAGTTTTATATTTGGATGTCAGTATTTTTGCACACTCCTGTTATAATCATTAATGTTATTCTTGCCGGGCAAATGTTCAATATGTCAGGCACTCCTTAATCTGCTTTTTAACCAAGCTGGACTTTGACCGCCCCTCTAATGTGTTTATGTGAGGAAGCTGATACGGGACAGGAAGAACTGCAGCCTGATGATCTGCCTGACTTTTTTCCCCCCTAAAATGCATATTTTTGAGGATTTGTGTGTGCGCGCGCAATTCTTTGGAGATGTTAGATGTTAGTCTCTTTGTTAAATGCTTCCTCTTGCTGTGAACAGAGTCAGAGAGGGTCTCCTGCATCTGCAAAAAGAATATCCCTGAAAGCGGCCTTGTAGACTGCGCCGTAACAGCCTAGGACGTAAGAAGAGAAGAGAGCATATGTGAATGTATTTTAGATCTCATTGTAGATCACAGTGAATTGACTGTGCGCAGATGGACTGTGGAAAAGGAGTTGGCAGCTAATGAGATTTAGAGCTGCGATCTTGAGTAAGAAATTTACAAATTAGGTTTTGTTTTTTTTGTAAGCCATTGATTTTTCAATGCGTATCTGCTGTTTCAATCTAAAGACTCAAATCTGGAAAATTAAAATTCTTTAGTTTATTATTATCTGTGTCAGTTAGAAAATGAAAGTTGTGAATTTACAAGCACTGGTAATACTCATAAATTTGAAAGTGAGAGGAAAATATGAGTGTGTCATGACAGTAATGACAACGTTGAGGAGGTCAGAGAACAGTTACTGACCTTTTCCTCTAAGTTATGTTTGACAGATGATATTCTCCCTAACCTAGAAAGCTAATCTCCCTGCAGTGATCGCATTCATAGCATAAACAAAGAATAAGTGCAGGAAATTTTGCAATTACAAACACTGCGTTTTTTAAAATCCCCTGGCCTTACATTGAAAGTTGGAGAAGTTTCTGTAGTGACACTTTAATGCAATAACCCCAGCAGATGTTTGTGTAGTGGTGCGTGGTGATTGTAGCCAGGTTTAAGTAGCCACATTTTGGATTTTTGCTGCGCAGACATATGTCACACCACGCCATCCCTCAGGAGCCACTCAGAGCTCTCCGGGGGAAACACTGTCCCAATTTCTTTCTCCACTCATTATGTGTCTTTTGTTGTTTGTGCGTTCTTATTTTAGTTTCAGCTTTTGTTTAAATGAATGAGCAGGAGTTCAGTTTTCAACGCCCTGCAGCTCTGGACAGATGGAGAAAAATTGGAGATGCTTTCTTTGCTAAGATTTTTGGCAAGATCTGTTAAATGGGATACAGCTCCACCTTAACAGAAGCTAATGCCACTCCAAAAAGAGCCATCACAGACGGTGATGCAACAAGCTTCACCGAAGGAGCACTACTCATCTGTATCTTTGTTATATGTCCTGTGTGCTTGCACTTTTCAAATTCGCCCCAAAGGTTAATGTGATTACCCTCCCTATCGGTTAGGCTGTTAAGAGGAGCTGGAGGTCAAGCGAGTCCATATCACACAGGATAAAAGACAGAAGGCCACATCATTGCACATCATGCCATTTCCACGGGGCTTGATGGTATAATAGCTTTTGGTAACCGCAGGAGCTTTAGTGCAGAACAGACTGCCTGATGGGAGGAAGTCACCATGACAACAGTGTCAGGAGTACACCGGGAAATCATAACCTGTAACGGAGGAAAAAGACAATTCCAATTTGTTTCAGTATATAGACCATTTGTCAGCATTCACATTCAGAGAAACCCTTTCTTCCCGCCGTACCGACACATTGACTCTGGGTCAAGATGAAGGTGAAGCTGTGAATAAAGGGCAACAGATGCCAAACGCAAGGGGCTGCCTCCTCATCTATTTGTTTCCACCCTTGACCCTTTTTTTCTTTCCATCTTCTGCTATCATTGGGAGGGTGTAAGCCTTAGAACTCATGTAGTGGAGAGATGCTCTCACACTAATCTCACAAGAGAATCACTCCAGATGTTTTATTTCTTCCTGTCTCTTGAGGAGATGAGTTCATATCAGACATTTCTGAATTACAGCAACGCTTGTGGTGGAAACTTGAGAGATTTGGCTCCCTTTTCTATGCCTTTAGATGGTCTTCTCAATAAACAAGACATCTGTATGTAGACACATTTGTTAAACAATCTTCCTAGTATTTCACAGCTACAAAAGTATCTCCTAAGGAAGAGGTCCATTAGAAAGTATTGAAATACTGTTGTTGGCAGATTATGCCGTTTTCTTTCATAAACCGAAACTGTTCTGCTGTATGTCTGTAATCCACTCCCTTGTCGCCCCACAGCTGCTCTTAAGTAGCAGCTAATAGCTCAGGTTGATTTATACTCTGCACAGTGCTCCTGAGAGTTCATAGCCTAGCTTCACAAAAGGGGATTTCAGCTCTCTCTCCCCCCCCAAGAAGGGTTATGAAGGCCTTCACATTAGCTGTGACATGATGGAAAGTGGGCACTTGCATGCTTTCAGTGCTTAATATACAGTATGTATGAGTGTGGTGTGCGTGATACCGATCAGCAACAGGAAATGGTACTCACTGAGTGTCTATGTCTATTTTCCTCATTCCAGCTAAGCTTCCAGCACAAGGTGGGAGTACTCTACTGCAAGGCTGGCCAGAGCACAGAGGAAGAGATGTACAACAACGAGAGTGCCGGCCCAGCGCTGGATGAGTTCTTGGATCTGCTTGGTCAGAGGGTGCGCCTCAAAGGCTTCACCAAGTACAGAGCTCAGCTGGATAACAAGAGTAAGATAAAATGCACAACACACTCGCCAAGCTAAACATCCACAAATGCTAACCCACACATTTCCAGTCCTGCTGAGTGCAGATGCTCCGCTGTATGTGTTTACAGGGACTGTAGTGCATCTTCAATCTTAATTTTTGTTCTATGATATCATCAGATCAGCTAACTCGGTTACATTTTGCAATCTGGCCTGAGACCCTGACCTCCCTGTCTTCTCTTATAGCGGACTCCACAGGCACGCACTCTCTTTACACAACCTATAAAGACTACGAGCTGATGTTTCACGTGTCCACCATGCTCCCCTACACACCCAACAACCGGCAGCAGGTGAGTAAACTGTACCCTTCAGGCTCTATCTTCTGCAGCACACCACCATGCTTGCCCTTCTGTGTACTCAGTTGATGTCTAATAGCTTTAATAAATCCCTGAGCAAGTTCCTTTTAGGATATCACCTATCCTGACTACTGCCAATCTTCCCCAGAGACTCATTTCGCCACGGTAATGACCTATCAGTTGAAAGCACGAGCATTGCCATAGCGACGGTACCCCATAGTAGGACTTTAATCAGTGCTTCCCCAGGGGCTGAAGCAGACGCGGTATTAGATGGACCTCTGTCTGTCCGTGCTAACAAGTGGAATTAGGTGGATGTAGCAGTGGACTGTTGAACGATGGCCCTCTAAAGATAAGATTACAGACATTCACTGTATTAATCTCTATGCCGATCACATGGTTGTACTTTTTGAGTCCATAATACAACCTGTGGGCACCACCCTGTAGAGATTAGAATACCTTGATGGAGGCTGGATGTACAGTCTAAAACATCAGAAACATCTAACAAGTGAGCGTAGAAACATGATTGGTGGTGTTTTTTTTCTCTTTACCTTTCATCCAATTGTATTTCATAAAGTGGGACTGTTTGATTTAATCCCTGGTGGTAATATTCCAGCAGGGCCAAGCAGAGCTTGACCTGTTCATCCCTTCATCATTTCCAAATCACCCCTGCACCCTCTAATCCTGCTTGTTTCGGGCTTTCACCGACCCTGACTGACAGGCTCACACCAACCAGAGAATGGGGGTTAATGACCTGCACAGGCCAACAATACAAGCAGTATAAATTGGGTTTGAGTGGACATGTGCCCTTCACACACAAATCCTAAATTGAGTTAGTTGATATCTCTACCACCCAAAAATCCCTTTGTCCAGTAAAGTTTCTGTATCCAAACCGGGAACAGTGATTCTGTCGAGGAGAAGGGCAAAATGTGAGAGCTTACTCAAAGGATTGATTTTTTTTGTTTCGTGCAGGGGATGAACTGATGCCCCCCGTCCCTGCATTCAGTGTAATAAAGATGCTCAAATGTTAATCCAGGAAAATGATGCTAAACAGGTTTTGTCCCATCAGTTGTATCAAAGCTTGTTGCAACCCATGAGTCTATGATTGAAAAATTGTTTCCAAAGGAAAGGCGTGTGGGAAGGAAACATAAACGGTGACAACCTCATTTTCTCAATTACCACACCATGTCCTACTGAGAACGTGACGTACACGCCACAAGATTGTGCAGAGGCCCAATCAATGAGACAGGAATTTATCCCTCTAATGCCAAGTGTATCATATTTGATACATGAGCATTACCTGTTGAGTTCGAAAAGCCTGAACAAATTGCACTTTTTTTTAAAAACAATTAATAAATAAAAATTCTGGATGTAGCAAAACCTAATTTGTTTTCTTTTAATTTGTCAAAAAGTTCAATAAACATTCCAATTTCAAAAAAATGTAAATTTTCCGGCAATTATTTAATGACTAGACTACAGTTACTATAGTTTTGTATTTTCTAATTATTTTAATTATTATTATTATTTCATTTTGACCTTTTGTTTTCAAGTTCAAGTGGATTTTCTTATTTCAGTTTAGTTTTTGTTGTTTGAAAATGTTTAGTTTAGCCTTTTTTCTTTTCTTTCCTTTTTTGTTTCAGTGTTAGTTTTAGGCTTTTTTTTCTTCATTATTATTGTACCAAGAGCATAAGTCACAGGTAAGATTTGGGGAAATCAGGCTGTATAATAAAAACATAACTTTTTGAAAGCAGTGATTCGTAGTGTTATAAAAATCCAGATATCCATAAACACGTCTGTCAATACCTCAAGTTTTAGTTAATATAACCACCTTGGTTCAGGCATCATAGGGTTAATTAAATAAGGAACTTTTACATAACTGGCATGTTTTTTTGGGGGGTTTTGTTTTTGTTGTTTTTTTGGTTTTGTTTTAAGTCCTGTGACATGTGGTTTATGGCTGTTATCAGAGCTGTCAATCATATCTTGTTGCATTTAAAAAAATGCTTTTGTATCATTTCCTGGTTTATAAGAGATGTCCATTCTGTCCATTAATGAGGACGTTTTTGCCACCCAAAATTCTTTGTTTTTCTTGGATATAGGCATGATACTTTAAGGTTTGCTGGGAAAATTTCTAAGTAATAAAAGGGCCAGTACATATGAGCACTTGGTGCTACACCTTAGTTTGTCTGGTATTGATCGGTGGCTTATCATGGTTAATGTTAGCAAATGTTTGCTAAGTTGAGAAAGAAGTTTTTGTGTGACTGTTGAGTCACTGCAACTGACACACGGCTGGCCTTTGTTCAGAAAAACACTTGCATGCTCTCATTCGAATTGAAATCTTAAAGCGATAATGTGTTTTCCAAACTTCTGTACTCTTAAACTAACCTGACTGTGTTCATCTTTTATCTAATTTAATTTCCATTTCTCCTTTTTCTCTTGCAGTTGCTAAGGAAGAGGCACATTGGCAATGACATTGTCACCATAGTGTTTCAGGAGCCCGGGGCCCTTCCTTTCACTCCAAAAAACATCCGCTCTCATTTCCAGCATGTGTTTGTCATTGTCAAAGTCCACAACCCGTGCACTGATAACGTCTGCTACAGGTAAATGGAACAAGCATGCATCACGCCTGCAAGGCACTCCCAAAACTGTTTTTTACTCTGGTTGGTAAAGAAAAGCGTGCAGGGTAGAAGAAAGTAGAAAAACATCTGAGTTTGGTGGCATTGAGTCAAACCACTAAATATTAGAGTGCTACACCACGGGATAAGAAGCGAAATGGTGTGCTCGAGACAGTTTAGGCGAACGTGTTGATCTTCTGATGTGTTTTTCATAGATGTCTTTGTGTCAAGTGGCTCTTCTGCGTGAAGTTTTAAGAGCACTTAATTTAAAAGGATAATAATAATAGCTTGCTCAGTGATTTCTGTGGTTTCTCTTATGACTTCATAGTAATGCGCCAGAATCACAGGGCTCTTTTCATCTGCTCAGTGATGATACAGTTATTATCTTCAGAGACACCTTGAAATTATGACTTATGAATTACGACTCAAGAGTTTCTGAAGTCAAGACGACTCTTGCTAATAACATAGCATTTGTTGAAGGGAGAAAGATTAGTCTCAGCAGAAATAATTTTACCAAAAGGCATATAATTTCAGCGCCTGCTCATTATTCATTCATTTCAATATCTACGCTCCTCTTTTTCTTAACTGTCACTCCCGCATTTTATTTTTTTCCAGTGTGGCTGTGTCCAGATCTAAAGACGTGCCTCCATTTGGCCCCCCTATTCCCAAGTCTGTAACTTTTCCAAAGTCTGCGGTTTTCAGGGACTTCCTGCTTGCCAAGGTCATCAACGGGGAGAACGCAGCACACAAGTCGGAGAAGTTTCGGGCCATGGCGACTCGTACGCGGCAGGAGTACCTGAAGGACCTAGCCGAGAACTTCGTCAGCACGGCCACTATCGACTCAGCTGTCAAATTCAGCTTCATCAGCCTCGGAGGCAAGAAGAAGGAGAAGGTGAAACCCAGGAAGGACGCGCATCTGTTCAGCGTGGGAGCGATCACCTGGAGCGTCCGTGCCCGGGACTTTGGCCAGTCGCTGGACTTTGACTGCTTGCTTGGTATATCCAATGAGTTCATTGTGCTCATTGAGGAGGAATCAAAAAATGTGATCTTCAACTGTTCGTGCCGCGACGTCATCGGGTGGACCTCAGGGATTATGAGCATTAAGATTTTCTATGAACGGGGCGAGTGTGTCATGCTGTCTGCTCACGACAACTGCGGAGAAGACATCCGGGAGATGGTGCAGAGACTAGAGGTAAATCTCTTCGTGTCTGCATTGGAATAATCTCTGTCATCCCAAAGCTCTCAATAACTGCTGGATTAGACCACAGAAAGCCAGTGGGATGATCCTTTTTGTAGCACCTCGTCTTCGGTGTCACTAATCATACCATATGTAGAGATTTGAGAGAACAAAAGACATTAGATGAATCAGTTTCCAACACCACACCCCCCTCACAGAGCTAGTAATTCATTCTGTTTGCCCTGTCTGTTTAATTGAGGGGTTTTTGTATAAATTTGACATCCAGTTTATTTGTGAAATAATGAGCACATTACAGTAAAAACAATTACGCTGTCTACTACTAGTGCGTAACACAGTTTTAATAGCTCCGCGGAAAGGTGCAGCTGTTGGCGCTAATGCATAAACATAAAAAATTACAGTAAGATTTAAAAAATAAAAGCCAAGCATCAGCAGCACCAAAAATAATGATGATATGGCACTTATTGGGTTTTACTAGAAATAGAGACAGGTTCACATTTTCTAAACATGTTCTAAACAATGCACATAAAACACAATCAGGGCCTCTTCCCCGCCCCCGTGCATGCTACTGCACTTTCACCTGCATGTTGTTGCCTGCAAAATACATTATTTGGGCGACTGTGGTTAATCCACGTGTCTAAAAAGTGAAGTGCATGTGAAGGAAAGTTTACTTTTAATGTGGCAGTGGAGCGTTGTACTTTGGATACTTGTGGGCTCTGCGGTGAAACGGTGCATTCAGCAAATGTTGCTCTTGCAGTTGCAGCTTTAATGCTTGACCACAAACCTTTTAATTCTGTTTTTCACGGTTGGGTCAGCAAAACTGTTGCTCATTTAACCTTTATTCGTGCTGTCAATTCTCATGTGTTGCAGAGCAACAGAGATTTAATGGCCCCTTTTTTTTTGGCCTCCACTCCCTCACACACATGCAGTGAAAATATCTCACTAAATTAACCCGAACCTCACTTGCTTTTCAGGCGGCTCCCTCTTTTTTCTTTTTTCTGATTGTGCATTAACGGGAATGTGAAACTGTAAAGCAGAGCCATCAGAGTTCAGAGAGGATTACAGACCTCCTGTTGAAAGCTTTCTTTGGCTCATCACAGACTCGGCAGAGGTGCACAGGCGACCGTTCGGGTCACACAGTTGCAGATGTCCTGCTCTTGATCAGGATAAACCACTATGACATATCACGCAATTTTCACAAAAACTGACTAAATAAATAAAGCCGAAGCAGCTCAGTACCGCAGACAGTTCATTTAATGGATTGAAAGATTAGAGAAAATGTGATTTTTTTTTTTTTTTTTTTTTTTTTTTTTTTTTTTTTTTTTTGGGGGGGCATTCTTGAAATGGGGACTGTCTGGGTGCAGGTTTACAGGGAGACTCTTTCTAGCAGGACACCAACCCAGTTTTGAAGGGGAAGGCTGGAAACGGAGGCAATTTGTTTTATTTTTTGGGGGTCTGGCAGACTAAGAATAGAGGACACGTGGCCTCATACTACTACTTTACTCCTATTGAGAGCTCCCCACTTAGTCCCAGTCCTCGCATCCCTATTTTGTAATTCTAGCTTAGCTACATTGTGTTACTGTTTGGGCTATGTGGGTCCAGGTGTCTTGAAATTTTGAAAATGGTGTACACCTGGCTACACAGCCCAGATGCTGTCCTCAGACACCTTGTTTCTGCTTCCTGTGTACCTGCAGGGTCTTGCTTTTCCTATTCTAGTTTCCATGATTTGTTAAGTGAAGCTCTAATCAGGCAGCCTTTTGTTTTCCTTAAATAACATCGTGGTTGAATCCCAAAATCCAAACCTGAGCTGTGCCTGACCTTTTTCATGCCTGGCTGTGTGCTTTCCGGCACTTATCCTGCACAGTCCCTTTTTGGCAGTTGCATCAGCAGTCTTGAAATTTGCAGCAGACCCTAGCCAGCGAATCAGTTGTTCAGCCAACAAGTAACAACCAATTTCCTGCTAAAAACCTGAATGAGGATCAGATTCTTCTGAGGATTAAAGGAGGCTCGGATAATTTTTATTATCACCTCTTGCAATGAACTGAGACTCTCAGAAGAGCTTCTGAATGAGAATGAATAAATGTGCACCTGAGCACAAAGATTCTGCATATCCTTACCAAAAAAAAAAAACAGCCACACCAGAACCTGAAGAAGTCTTTCCCATAATTACTCTTTAAAGGACACTGATGTCATTCAGCGTCTACACACACTCATCTTAAGGAAGGACAGAGCGGGATATATTAGCATTCGTGATTAGCCAAAGGACATCACTTCCTCATTTGCTATGCTAATTTCCCCTCACATTTTCTGTCCACTTCTCCAAGGAATTCCTGATTAATATTCCACAGCCCAGTTTTATAAAGTATTATAAAGTTAGTACGGATCGCTGTTTGTGTTGTGATACAGGCAATGGAGCAGCAAGCTGTAGGCACATTTATTTGGGTATAAGCTGACCAGGCATACTTGTTCCCAAAGGTGTCTGCATTTTCCCAAATGTCCTGGAGGTTGACTCGAATCAAATTTCATTGGTGGGATTTACAGGCTGCCCGACCTGTGATGTAATGTGAACAGATTGCCAACTGTAACACACAGAGGAGCCCAGTGTGAGAGCGCAACTAAAAGCTTTGTGATAGCGTCCTGCTCTCCGGGTTGCGGAGCTGGTTGGCCGCATGTTCAGTTTTTACGATGCATGTTCTCTTTGCTCGGGTGCCACATACGCCACTTTCTTTTGTCTGGTTGGGTTTTGTTTTGCATGTTTTGGAACTAAATAATTTGGAATAGTTTTATAATACTATATTGTGTTTATCTAGATTAAATATGTATTAAATTAGTTATAAGTTTTTAATCATTCTCCTAACTCCAAACCTTGCAATTATATTGCTTTTCTATTTGATATATGATGACATTTTAAACACTTGTAATTGTATTTGCAAACAATTTTCTGATTCCTTATCATTTATGCTGTCGGTAGTAAAATGCCATGGTAGCCTTTATGATTATTTCTTTATTCAAACAACAATCCAAAAAGCAACAAGCAATTTTACTGGCACATATAACAGAGAGAAGCAGCATGTTGATCAATAAAAGAGCTTCTTAATTAGTGCTCATTAGCACCATTTTGAGGTCATACATGTTGTTACAGACAAGTAAAAGCTTTGATAACCTCCTGCAGTCCCACAGTGCTGCTGAGCTCCGTTAAGCTAAAATATTCAGAATCACACAAGAAGCTACATGACGTTGATGCCGATTCCTGAAGTATAAAGCGGCCACAGATTTACCAGTCCGCACTTCCAGTAGAATGACAAGGTTTTGTCATGTCTGAGAAACATGCAGACGGTGCCATCAGTGTCAGAGCAGTGTCCGACTGTCAGACCTATCACTGAGGAACAGTGCCAGTAACACTGTTTGGCAACAGTAGTTACAACAGATTTGAGGCTGATAATGTTTGTTGTAGTTTTTATGGCCGGTTATTAGTCTGTTATTGGTTTGGCCAGCAGGACGTGCACACATGTTGACTTTATGTCCCTTTTCTCATCCAAGTATCTTCATAGGCCACAAATACCTCCTGTGAGATGATGGATGCACTCTTAGAGTCAAGCGTTATGAATCTGAGCAGCTCGTAGGAGAACCTGAGCAGATTAATTTGGTGGTTGGACTGAATAAAGGGCTCTAATGAAAGCATTTAGAAAGCTATTATTTAGGCCTAATGGATTTCTGAAAAAGGGGTGTTTGATTCATGGTCCCAAACGCAGAAGCCTTCATACACAAACCATTTAGTCCAGACTATACCCCGGAGAACTTTTATGTTTCATATTTCCAGTTCTTTTTGGAAATTTAAAATGATTGCTAAGTTTTTGGCGTCTTTTCTCTAGATTTTGAACCCGAAGTATCTTTGGCTTCTTATTTATTAGCACATAAAGCAGGGACTGTGTTTGTGTTTAATTACTGGATGGGCTCCTTTGCTGAAATTTTACAGTTGTATCCTATTAAGAGGACAGTTATTGCATGATGGTTGATAATGGGGTTCTGCTGACGTGAGAATCTGGTGTGGAGTGTTGACAATCCATAGTCTGTGTTAATGTGTCCCTGAAGCTAGTTGCCACTCTGAAGCAAATGGAGGCAGTCACCCACAACTGAACCGAGACTAATCCAATGGGTGATTAAAGCTCGTTGGATGTAGCGTGAGGTTTTATTCCCCATTCGTTGTCATAAACCGTGTAGTCCTAATGTGTTCTCGCAGTGTAGCTATAATGTAGTCAGTCATTTTATGTCATCACTGTGCAAATAGGTGCTCCACTACTCCACTTACTTTGCTGTGTTTGTGTTGTGCTGAAATAAAACCATTGAAGCAAGTAGGTTGCCTGAACTTTTACTGAACTGGAGTTGCATTAAAGCGAAGGATGATGCCAAGCCGCCACTGAGCAAAGCGAGCAGCTTAATTTGCATGTAAGCACATAATTGGACAAGACCCAACTTTCATTTTCATCCAAGAGCACAACTGGACAAGCAGAGACTGTCCACCAAGAATCCTTAGGGAAAGTGTCACGTCTCTGGCAGCAGTCTGCACAATGGCGAGAGAGGGTGAAGTGAGTCATCTTTTCATGCTGGGTGTGGGGGGGGGAAGTGCTTTAATTAACTGCCAGTTGATGCAGATTATGTATTTGTATATAAATATTACGCTCCAAACTTCTCCCTTGACACTGACTTTACCTAATAGACTCGGCTCTGTGGACATGTCCGTGTCTCAGGGGCCAATTAGATCTGCGTTCCCCGTGCAGCATGAAGAAAAGAGCTACTGTAGTTACTGTCCACAGAGACAGGTGTGTATTTGTGTGCGGCTCTTTGGCAAGACGGTTAGCCGTGCGATGTAGCCTCTTATTAACTTCAAGTTTGAAAGGTTCTTTGAATTAGCCAAACAAACATGCTGGAGGCTTGCTGCCTAAGGACTTCTGCTTCTGCTTTGGAGGCTTTGATAGTATTTTTCTTGTGCATGCATGTGTAATAAAACCCACACACATCTTACAAATGATGCAAACCATTCGCTGTTGGAATATACTCTGTTAGCTTTGAAGGCTCTTATTAAAGAATATTAAGATCATTCATTTTTCTCTCTGTCTCATCTCCTCACTGTCATGTGTATTGCATTCTGTTTCCAGCTAAAGTATCTATTAAGTCCTTCGGTTTTTAAAGCTCAGGATCTGTGCCGTGAAATACAAATTCACCTGCCTTTTATCGTAGATTATAAAAACGGCCGTTTTCATTCTGCTTCCAGATCGCCACCAGAGGGTGCGAAACCACGGAGATGACACTTCGCCGGAATGGCCTCGGCCAGCTCGGCTTCCACGTCAATTTCGAGGGCATCGTAGCCGACGTGGAGCCCTTTGGTTTCGCCTGGAAGGCAGGACTGAGACAGGGCAGCCGACTGGTGGAGATCTGCAAGGTGGCCGTTGCTACCCTCACTCACGAGCAGATGATTGACCTGCTGCGCACCTCAGTCACCGTCAAAGTGGTTATAATTCAACCTTATGAAGATGGCACTCCCCGAAGGTAAACCCTCACTCTTTGGTCGTCTCATTTTCACCTCGGTGCAAACACTTTTGTTACAGCAATTAAGCCAAAATGACTTAAAATCAAATGCAGATTTCCTGTTGTTGTTTCCTGTTGTCCTGCGGTTAGCGAGACAGAAGCAGGTGCTCCCCCCAAAATTAATGAAGCCATAACAGAAAAGTAGTTTGGTTTACTTCTTTTTTTCCTGGCAGGTGGTGTAAATTAGCTTGACATTTGCTCTCGTGTTTGAGGCGATTAGCATAAAGAAATGCTTACATACTGTTTGTGTTGCACCGGAGATGATGTCGTCCTCCACTGATTTCTCTGGAGATAGTCTTTCTTTGTTGCGAGAGAAATCTTCAGCAGGCCTGCGGAGCCGCAGACACGGACAGTCAGCATTTCCCACTAATGATAATGAGAAGAGGCTTTTGATTAATGGCTCAACTCTCGCTGCCTTTGTTTGACAGCTCACATTTGTAGATGGCTTTTCTCTAACCTCGCTCAACGTTCTGTTCAGCAATTAGGATGGGAGTGTGTGCCTTTTTTTAGGGACACACTCCCACGTAGAGAGTCCACCGCCCTTGAAATAAATGAGTGGAGCGTGTTTCAAATGATTTTTTTTTCCTTTGTGTGTGCGTGATGGGAAGAGACGAAGGTTTGTGTAAAATGCTTGTTCTGAAAGCACATCTGCTTGTTTTGTCTGTGCGAGACAGACAGCACTGTGAAATCGTATCCGTCACTCCTTCACACTCACATTTTCGACATCTTTGTTTTTCTTCGGCTTCAGGCTGACAGATTTATGTACCAGGAAAATGCTGGTTCCACTTTGTCACAGACAGCCACGACAGAATGGCTTGACAATGTGCAGAAAGAATATTTCAATACAAACCCATTTTTCTGTTTGTGTTGTTACAGGTAATGCTAATATACCAGCTAATCGTTAAAGGTAATAACACATAGATAACAGCAATTAATGAACCACTGTGTGTTTTCATTCTTTGACTGTATTTGTGTGCTTTCTAAACGCATGAAGTAAAGTGGCGATTGGTGAATATCTTGATAAATCCCTGATGGGTGAGTGTTTTGGTAAATAATGATAATGACAAGCCTTGCTTAATGTTCTGAATGAATATATGATTAAACAGCTGTGTGTATGTGTGCATCAAAATATAAAGCATGCATAGTAGTTAACTTTTGCTTTCCGGTCTGGCAACAGAGGAGCAACATTTTTGCTCCCCCAGATGGCGAGCTAACGTGTGTTGTCTGTGAAGCCGACAGAGCAGCCTCTCTGGCAGAACCGGCGTCTAAGCCTCTCGCCACGATCTGTGATGATACACGACGATGCAATCATCGTCGCGGTCCGGGGACGGAAGAAGCAGATAAAACGGAACATCCTCCGAAACTGGTTTTGTCTCCACAAATGTGTCCAGCTTATCAGAGCAGTATTTACAGGATGGAGATAGAGAGAGCTTTTGGTGTGGCATCTGTGCCAGGTGAAGACTTCTGGCTTGGTTTAGCTGAAACCACTGAAGTGACTGTTTAATGGGAGCCTGGACAGCCAATAAGAAATGGGGTTAGAAATAAACATAAATGAACAGAAGCTTGTGCAGTGATTACGTCATACTAAATGTGTATAATATGTGTTGTGACGCGTTATGAACAGAGTGTGACCCATATATCGCATTTGCTAATAGAGGCATCTGGCAGATTAGTGAGCATTAGTAGCAGCAGAACGGCAAACTGGTCAGTGCTGCTGAGCCTTCCCCGTCCCCACTGAAACACAGTTCCTCAACGCCGCCCCCATGAGAACCAAACGCCTCCATCTAAGCTCCTCTGAATATTCTCCCAAGACTCCCAACAAATCAAGAGGTGAGAGGTCAGGTGAAGAATCTCGAGGGCCCTCAACACTTTTCGCTGCTGCGTCTTGGAGTTGCTAAAGTGTTGCAGTCAACAATAAGTGCTCCAGTTTCTCTGGCATTATCTCAAAGGAAAGGAATTCAGCAGGGGGCCCGAAGGCCCCAGTCAGTCCCCCGTGGCCAGAGAGATGAGGACTAATCTAGCAACAATGGACAAGAGTCTCATGACCTTCAAACAATGTACCCTGGCTCCACGCTGCTACCATGACAAGGAAAAATGTTTTCATAAGTACATGCGGTGGCTGGAAGGAGCTTCCTCTTTATTCTTTTTAAATCGCTCCAATATTGTTTAGGCTTCCTATTTTTGTGATTCGGCGAGGAGTGATGTTGTCATCTTGTTGCTAAGATTATGTCACATTAGATTGCAACAAGGAATCATTTATACAGTGTAGCATTGTTTTGTGGCAAACCTCCTAAAGCTGTTTATGCCCTAAATGGATTTACCCTGCTCTGCCTGAAGCTGTGAGATGTCTCTAATATTAGCCTTACCTAGTACTGTATTTATTTACACTGGGGGGCAGGATGTGGTTATAGCTCAGCACAGTACCAGAGGCTTTTCCATCATCACTCTGAAAAGCCTTAAACAAGTTCAGCATGTTAGCTTTGGATCAAAACTAATGAGAAAAAGATGAAAAAGATTAGCTCTTTGAAACAGGAATGCGATGTACAGAACATGGTAGAGATTGTATGTTTTGGTATGCGGTCATCAGAGATGTAAGGATAAACAGAAGGATCAGTACAATATGGACTAAAATGTATGTTCATTACAAGACATACAAATAGAAGCAGAACATCAACTGCTACGTGGCCAGTAAGGATTTTTTTCCCCTGAAATTTATTCCGGCTGAGTCCCGGCTTTTTGTTTCTCTTTTTTTAATATCATATTGTCGTTTTAGGTTTTAATTGCAAAGATTTACTTTTGAAATGGTGTCTTCAGCCTGTGTCACAGTGTTGACGATGACATTCAGATGGCCACTTGTGACCTTTCCTTTGTAGTGCCATCAGACTTGTCATTGTGGATTTTCATATGGACTGAAGCAAAGCTGGATTTCTCACTTCCCATGCCAGCACCCACCCAAGATGGAGCACCACTAAACCCAAAGAAACTAGAAACTGCATCACAAATTGTCCTACTTAATCCCCTTGCATTCTTCATAGGAGCTGGGGCGGGGGGGTTGGGGGGGGGGGTTCTGCAAAGATCAGTCTGTTTTTTTTTCATCTTTAAGTCTTCAGCACACCTCGTTTAATGAACCCTTTGACAACAGTCTGCACAGCACTGGTGGAGGTCACGACCTCTGTGACTCTTTGCCGTGACAAGGACTATGACTGTGGGAATGGATTAGCATGTCCCCCTCACTTGCTGGCCCTGTCATTGGACTGACAGCTCTCTGACTGAGGTCTAAGGTCCTGTTGTCACACTGATCTATTGTGATTCGTTAAGAGCCGAATGGTTGAAGGAGCTGAATGTTCTCCACCAATCACCCACTAACAAAGCTTAGCACAGTTTTTTTTTAATTACATTTTTAATGACCTGTGATGGTATTTTAGTAAAGTTGCATCAGGTTTTGTAGATTTTGTTGTCAAAGTACCCCCCCCCCCCCCCCCCCCCCCCGGAGCTTTATTTTTAGTTGTGCATTGTCTCCAGTTGTGTAGTTTTCTCTAAGCTTACGTAGGCCATTGTGGCATAATTTATAGCCACTCACATTAAACTGGGAGAGAGGCGCAGCAGTTCTTTTTGGAATCAGAGGAAAAAGACGGTTATTATTTTTCTCACCAGTCACTCGCTTCCTCCTCTGCTCATGCCTGGCTGGACATGTCCGACAGCTTCTCCTGCAACACCAGCTTCCAGGTAAAGTTTTCTAACTGTTGACCAAACACCAGTTTCCTGCCGTTTCCTTATGATTTATACACTCAGTCTCGGGTCGCCTTTATACAAGAGGCACATTCCTTATACATGAATATGAAGGCTGTTCCCATTAAGTCTGCAGTTGTACTGCTGATGGAGATTATTTGGATCATATGGGCAAATCACTTTGTCACTTCTTGGTCATTCTGGAGCAAAAAGCACAGCAAGAGAATAAAGCTGAGACCTTCACTGTTGACAAGCTGTTAGCTGGGGGATAGCTCTTTTTTCTTTGTAGAGTAATGATGTGTGGCAACCTATTATGACCACACACATGTGCTCTCTCTCTGTCACACACACAGACATATACACACACAGTTAATCAAGCTAGTGCCAACCATGTTGAAAAACAATTGACCAGCAGTCTTTTTTATTTTTTGGGTCTTTTTTTGTGTCTGGAACAATAATTGAAAGACCTCGGCGAGCTAATTGAGTGTAAAGAGGTAATGTTCTCATCTCTAAGCTTTTTTACGCATACAACAGCTTCACTTGTGATCAATACTCTCACTGTCCTATATACCAAACCAGTGATGCATGCAGCATGCATATTGTGAAAACAATTAAGTATGTACACCGTAAGATGTGCAGGATGTAGTTCTTCATCATGAATGAGGCCAGCTGGCGGTGACATCAACCAGATGTGAGAGGACACGGAGGAAGAAGCAAAGGATGATCTTCTAGTTATATCTTATAACACCCGCAGCTCCAGTGGGAAGTCTGGTGTAAACAGCCCAGCCACCCATGGCCCAGACTGATGAAAGGGTCCTTCTGAGAAGGATTACTACTCCCCCCTCCTTCCTTCAGTGCACCCTCCTCAAACCCTTCTATGTATACATTTATGACCACAGCAAAAGTATACAGAGCTTTCCACTCCCCAGTGGATGCTGGAAAATGGACTTTAAAGGGGGGGGGGGTTGGCAAGTGTAATCATTAGGGTCATGCTTGATATGCCTTTGGAGAGTGAGCAGAGTGTTCACACTTTTTAACCCTGACCCACCACGCGGTTAACCCCCATCCCTCCCCTTCTTTCCAAACATACGCACCAAGCCGCTGCCTCGGTGATTAATGTTGCATGAAATGGCATCACAGGCCTTGTCCATCCCAGAGATCTTCACTGATGTTAGCAGTAAGTGGATGGAGACGGTGCACCGAAAAGCTACCAGTGTGTAGCAATTCGGGGAATACCCATTACTGGCCAACGGGCGAGCTCAGATTTTTAGCTTTGTGAAAATGATCGGAAATGGTGGGAAACTATTTTAAGTGATGTTAGTGCTCCGCTTACACTTGCAAATGTGTGTGAACATGTTTGTGGGTCTGTTGTTGTCAGTAGTGCAGAAATAAACACTATATAAGTCTAAAGATCTGGCTCAGGGTAAATAAAAGTATTTGTGTGCTTCAGCAGGGTCCTGGAGAGGCAACGTGAGAACACTTCACCCTGGTTTTCACAGATTATTATGAAATTTTCAGTTTCATGGCTGAAAAATATTAAAAATATTTAACATATTGTGATGTGAGGTTATAGGTCAAATTAATAGGTTCAATCCTGCTAATTAATCATTCGCATAACTTAAAACGTCATCTCCTGTCATTTTCTGTTCATTGATGAACTTTGACCCTTGGTTCCCTCTCACCCCTCTCCTCTCAGGGGCTGCTCCGAGCTCTACCGCATACCCATGGTGGAGTACAAGGTGGACAGCGAGGGTACGCCGTGTGAGTACAAGACGCCCTTCAGGAGAAATACCACCTGGCATCGGGTGCCCACGGCTGCCGGAGCGCTATCCCGAGGCTCGCCCACTCAGGGCCCCGACCGCTTGCAGTGTCAGCAGATCCTCCAGCAGCACCAGGCAGCTATCCCGCGAAGCACCTCCTTTGATAGGAAGTTGCCAGATGGTTCCAGGTGCTCACTATTCTCCACTTCAGTTTTCTTCGGTTGTTTGCCTATGCCCAATTTGGCACTTATTAAGGGTTGAAAGCAACGCTTGAATATGGGCGATCGAATAACTGTACGGTAGAGAGGCTGCATTACAAAAGCACAATGACAAAAAACACTGTTCACTGCTTAATATTGAGTCACATACAAATAAAGGAGCTTAAATGGTTATCCACGCTGAAAGAAAATAGCTTCTCCACTCGGTCTTTATGAATGTGGTTATCCACTGATGGTTTTATCATATATTTCATGTGTAAGCATTGCACACATGCCAGGACAAATTTACATAATGTCACAGTTGTGCAAAAAGGCAAAGGAAAAAAAACATTAACTAAACAAATTAAGAAAAGAAATGATCCTGTGAGACATTTTTTAATTTTTTTTTTTAACACACAAACTTTCTGCTCAAGGTTTTTCAGAAACGGAGGCTCGTCATCAAACACGACAGTGTAAAGACGGCGTCCTTTCAGATGAAATCTTTGAACTCTCAGCCTTTCTTATTTAGAAAAGAGCTGCAGTTACACTTTGAGGAGCTGTTATTGTGCTCGGTTATTTGCATACATATAAATGGCGCATTTTAGTTAAATGAATTCACGGCTCCGCTTTCATCTCCCTTTGGATGATAAGGCTGCGCTCAGACTTTGTTCCCGTCCTCGGCTCTGTCTCTTTTGGACATCTCCATTGAGCCATGTAAAGCAGTGATTTGTTCACTCTAATGAAACCCCTACAGTCACGATAACCTTTCCAGTGTGTCACACCGACTCCCCGCCACCCACCCGCCCGCCCGTCCAGTATTGCCTGTTTTGACTATACTGGGATAATGGCCGCCTTCTCTGCCTGGAGTCCCTAGCAGTCGGAGCTCTCCGTTCTCACTCCCCTCCTCCTTTCTCTCACTCTCCAACTCCCCCACTCCCTCCCTTTTCCTGCACCCTGCTGAGGAGGAGGTGATGGGGACACTGACACAGCTCCGCTCATCTCATCCAATTACTGCAGAAACAAAGAGAGTGCTCTTCCCTAGACCGCGATATGAAGCGCCCCAGAGGGAGTGGGAGTAGAGAAGGAGGAGGGGAAGGGAGGAAGACGAGACTGTGTCATAAAGTCGCAGGATCTGTAGGAATAAATCAGAATGAGTTAGCCGGACATTTGTTTGTGCTGCTCAACTAATTTTATTTTTAAAAAGCACCTTTTTTAAAAATCCACATACTCTGATTGAGGTCTGAACAAAAACCGAATCACTAACCTTCCCGTTAAATTTAAATGAACAAAAATGGAGCCCGACAGGTGGTCTCACTAAATTACTCATCTCACGAGGCTTTGAGGGGGCATGGACCCATTTGTCTCGCAAGGCCGCGCGAGAATCTTTATAGCTCGGATAAAGCGCCATTTCATCACACGTATAGCTGGATTTAGACTTGCAACCATAAAATATGACGACTGCTTCACAGCCAAATGAGACCAACCCTCTGATCGCTCCCCTCAAAATTTTTTTTTTTTTCCTTAACATGAGGAGAAGAAGAAAAAAGGAGAACGAAAAGCAGCCGCTTCTGTCTCAAATTGAAGTGCCTGGACTTAGCTGGACACTTGACTAACACAGCTGGAGAGAAAACAGCGATCTGGCCAGAGTGTTTGATGATGTGTGGCACAACTGAGATACTGACAGTTTATTTCCCTGTGGAGGGGAAAAAAGGAAACCGAACAAGGAAGCAGAAAGTGTTGATGTTTAATTTGGGTCGCCTTGTGAATGTTTATACTTGCATTTTTTTGAATCAGAGCTCTACCGGATCATTTTCAGTCGCTTATCTGCAAATTTCCAATCTTTGAATACCTGATCCAGGTGACAATCTCTCTTGGCTTTGCATTTAATAAAGATTTAGTCATTTCAGACCTGGTTCCAAACTAATGTATAAGGACAAAAGAAGCAGATATAAGGAGTATAGGCTAACCGACAAGACTTGGCTTACGCTTTAATGTGAAAGCCATACTGCCTGTGTTATTGCAGTCTTATTTCCGTCCGCTCATCTTACCTCATTTGGCGTGCTGGTTAAAGGGAAGGCAGCAGACATAAGTCACATTCAGTGTGTATTTTTCACTGTATCGTCCACAAGTTTTTCCTGGCTAGACAAAAGCAAGCAAAGCATCTTATCTCAAGGTATTAGCTCAGAGGCTGTGATGGTCAAACTAGGTGAAAGGACTAAACTTCAGTAATAAGCTAAGCATGAGGAATCGCACAGAGAATCATCATCTGGATTGCTGAATGAGGTTAATGCCATAATTAACCTCTTTCTCTGCCTTTGAAAATGAGACACCTTTACCTCCTCTTACATTATCTCACATTGTCTGTGAAGGTTCTCAGTCATCCAGGTCATCGTAGTCAAAGGAGCTTGCAAAGAAAAGCGTCTGGACTTCAAGAAGTCCAGACGCTTTTCTTTGCAAGCTCCTTTGATTATCTCACATTGAGTTTTCTTTCTTCTTCTTTTTTTTTTTTTTTTGAAAGCCTTTAATGATGCCCTTAAGATTCAGTCCTTCCAAATGATAATTTGATGATGATCATTTAACAATCATTTGATAATACCCCCCTCTATTTATGTCCCTATACATTGTGGACTTTTTATTTTTGTTGTTTTAAAGTGCAATTTTAGGATATTATCTGCACTTTATAAACAAATAAGCTGTTGGTATTAGAACTACAACTGTATATATATATTATGGGCTATCTGTAATCATTTTTAACCACTCCTGTCTGTTGTCCCTCTTTTTTCCTGCAGAACTGTGCAGGATATGGAGAATCCCCAGGTCACCTCATGTAACAAGGGAGACCAGCACTACCGCAGTTCCCCCAGCAACCAGTCGTCCTCCAGTGATCCAGGGCCCTGTGGCAGCAGCACATGGTCCCAGCAGCCTGGATATGATGGGTACAGGACCACAGCAGTGTCAATTTTTTTTTTTTTTTAGTTTTTTGGAAATAACCTTTAAGTAGTCCCTCCAGGATTATGCGGTTTTACAGTAATGAATGCAGCTCCAATCAGTCCCAGCACTATTTCTGAGAACTTGCAATTTTGCAAAATGACAGCAATTTTTCCACATGAAATGACCAAATCATCAGTGCACTTTTGGCCAGTCGTCATGCTTTTTTTTTTCTTCTTTCTTCTAGGAAGTAATCTAACAAAACAATAAAATTACGCCTGTCATGGTCTAATACCACATCCAGAACATAATGGAGAGAAGATGGAAGATGAGTTTTATTTAACATGCATTATTATAGTTTCCGTGAAGTCATCTCAAAGCTTTACTTTCAAGATGTCTTTCAAAGACGAACAGAAAAGCTACCTCGAATGTAAATGGGCACTTTTTAATTTGAAGCATGCGGTTAAAGGCTGTTGAAAATCCCACCTAAGTGAAGTGTTTTTCTTACTTTGGGCACGTACTTCTCATGCTATTCAGTAAATTAAAGAATGGGTGGCACTTAAATGTAATTGGAAATCATTTTTAAGGAATCTGACTGACTGACGTGGCGATCTAACAAACTATGACAGAATTTTGGAGAACGATTTAATTTAAAGGGTTTAATGAATAATCAAAAGAGAGAAATTATTCAGAGTCAGAGTATTTGGCTTTGTATCATCTGTCAACTTAATTATTGCCACAACAAATTCTTTCTTGTCATCAAATTTTCCAGTTCACTTATTTTACTCAATTTGGTTTTTTTTTTACAATGTTCTTTTCAACATGTTGGTCTTTATCATTTCGTCAATTATATAACGATGTCACGGAGCAGCCCAGACTGTAGACTGCGCAGGCGTAACATCTGTCAGGCTGATTCTTGTACATGAGCAGAATCCATGAGAGACCGACGTCTGTCTGTAAGTGGTTACAGACCATGACAACAGGCTTAGCTCCCCACTGCTGCCTTTTCTGTCAGAGGCCTCAGATGTGCATTGAACACCCGAGGACCACTGCGCCCTGTCAGAGCTGCCCCGATGCAGAACGGCAGACATGTCGACTGATCTGCCGGGCTTTGTCGGAGATCAGGAGACAATGCGGCCTCTGTTCATCTGCTGTAAACTTTATTAGCTCTAAAAGGTTTAACTAAGACGCGCATTGAAAAAAAATTGCTGCTCTTACCCTTTTGTCAAGAGGTAAAAAGCACTCGGCAAGCTGAGTCCAATGAAAAAAGGTCTTTTGTCAGCGTTGTCTGGCAGCTTCTTTATTCTATTATGAGCTCAAGTGTTTTGACCTTAAATGATGTTGAGCTAATTGCTGTACATCTGTGGTGAATCTATTGAAGCCTTTCTCTTAATTGAATAGAGAGCACACTCTATAGAAAAACGAATTTATGGCCCATTTTCCCCCTCCTGCCCTCTTTTTCTCCTTTTTCTTTTTTTTCTCCCCCCATCAGGTGTCCCTCCCCTATCCTGCATGAGCGGGTAGGGGACATCCAGGGAGGGGATGGAGAGATCCACAGAGAGAGAGAGCCCACCCTGGAGAGGACTAGGTCTGCAGGTTAGTCTGAAGTAGTCATTGTTAACATGCATGTCTGTATAGCAAGAGTGTAACAATCCTGAAACCAAAGCAAATCTCACAAACTGTTGTCCACATATCTTGCTGCCATCTTTTACATACAGTCTGTGAATCATGCCATCTGCTTCTATAGTAACAGTAACTTCTGGCTCCACAGAGGCCAAATGGCACATCCCCTCCACCAAGATCCTGAACCCTCTGAAGCAAAGAGAAGGAGGAAAGGACTCGCCCAACAAGCTGTCCAGGGTAAATGTCTGATCCACTTTCACTTTATTGAAGCCGACCAGGTGACTTGAATATAGTTTGGAAGTCTATTTGCGACTTTTGGGAAGGTCTTCGTATACTTGGTCTGATTCAGCCTTGAAGTGTGCTGTGCTGGCATTAGAGTCTGTGTAAGACCTGCTATATCCCACAACTGTTTCAGGCTGAGCTCAGATTGCCCTTGTTTCTGGGCTTTGCTGCAATCAGTTCAATTGGGGCAGATGTTCATGTTGTCCCCTCTAGACGCTCTTTGCAGTTATCGCTTTCCCTTCATCAGCATGCTAAAGGAAATCTCATCTCATCACTGTTTCAGGTTGTTTCATGCGTTTCTAGGACACCTTTTCCTTGAAGGTTGAATATATTAAGTGTTTTAGCCCCTCGTTTCTCCTTTCTCTATATTCTCCCCACTCCCTCTGATTTATGGTTATTTTGCCCAGCACTGCCTTCCTTTTTTCTTTCTCCTCAGATGCTGGAGGCCGGCTAATGCACCTAAACAACATGTTTTGGTGTTTTCCACCACTGTTGGAAGTGGATAAAAAATTTAACCATTTTCTTGGCACTGTACATCTCTAATGTACTGAGCCTGCTTTTTCAACTGTTTTTTCTATGCTGTGACTAAAACCGCATCAATAATTTAGCAGTAAATCATAGTAAAGGTGACATCGCAGAACAAACCTTTGCAATTCATGGCTTACGTTCTAAAATAAGGCGTAGCTGTTGATCCCCATGGTTTGAAACTGATGATGCACATTGGAATAAGTTGGTGTGACCTTAAATGTATTTGAGCTTGAGGGATAAAAGAGCTAAAAAAACAAAGCTTATGATCATCTGGATTCCTCAAATAAGTATCACAATTTCAGAGTTTGCACGCAAAGTATGTGACATTCAGCATAGTCTGTTTTTATTCCTGCCTACATATTACTGTCAACTACTTGACAGTGTAATGGGCCTCAAGAAAACAAGCTGTTGCCTTAGTCAGGGACACATGACCGTGTGAGGAAGCCTGATGGGTAAACCCCCTCCTTGCCTGGTAGGGCAAGAATGTTAAAGCATCCGTAAGAATTATTTGCAGCTGCTGTTTGACCTTGTTTGATTTACTGTGTTTCTTTCTCCTTCACCCCTCTCGCTCTCTCCCTCTCTGTGCCAGGCGGGTGATAAAAACTCAAGCCACTCAAGTAGCAACACTCTTTCAAGCAACGCCTCCAGCAACAGTGACGATAAGCACTTTGGCTCTGGGGACCTGATGGACCCCGAGATGCTCGGCCTCACGTACATCAAAGGCGCATCCACTGACAGCGGCATAGACACTAATCCCTGCGTGGCCCCCGGGGCCCGAGTGTTGCTGCAGGGAAGAGTCGGGGAGCAGGGACACCCGTGGGTGTCGGAGCACCACGAGGATGGAGCGTCGGAAGAGGATCATGGGAAAATGTACCTACCGCAGGGCTATGCTTCTGCCATTTTGTCTAGCCATGTGACAGAGGGCAGTATCGGGGACCTGAGCGAGATCTCGTCCCACTCCAGGTACAGCATTTTTGTCCTCGTTTGTACAAAACAATTGACTTTGGCTGAGTGAGTTACAAATTAAAGGATAACTTTAAATGGAAGTTGTTGAGTATGCAGCGCTGAACCTTGCCTTAACTGTTATTAGATCTCAAACAAATTTAGCACTTAAGTGAGATTTTTGGATGCTTGTCTTAAAATGTGCTTTCTAAATCCATCATGAAAAACACAGAGCGTCTGATAGACTTCAAGGATTCATGCTCCGCAGCGCTGAAGTTGTTCTGGAGCATGAACACCTTCCTAGCAGGCTTTAACGCTTTCCCCCATAAAGACGACATTTGATGACCTTTTCACACCGCCGTGCATACCAATAAAGATGTGGTTTTATGACCATTAGAGTAGTTTCTGGGTTTTCCCAATAGTAGCTACATAAGCAGAGACTACCCTCAGTAACTCCTGATGCAAACAGTCATTTTGTTCTATAAGCAGGCCTGAAATATGACCTAAAACCTCTCAGTCCAGAAGCTCCTAGTAGGCTTTCAAGGGGTAAAAAGTTTACAGTCAATTACAGCACTCTGTTTTTCTTTGCTGTGGTCAAATAGTTTTTCCTGGTGTGGCTTAGTTCCATCTTTTGGGGTCATTGATTTGCCTTTGTGAACTTTCAAACACCCCCTTTTTTTAAATGGCTCTCGGCAAAATCCACTATATTCCACCACGTAGATGTTTTCAGGCCCACTATCTGTTGAACACATGCAGAGACAAACACGTGCACAAAAGGAAGGTTTCTGGCTGTTAGCTGACCTTTTCACCCAGCCGTGCCCCCTCTCTGCTGACACACAGTCTGGATCATCCAGTTGTGCTGAAAGCTCCTGGTTGGTGTTGCTGTCAGGCCGAGGCAACATCAGGAGGCTCATCACACTATCCTTTAAGTCCTCCTTACCTGACCTGGGACCATCTGGGAAAGAGAAATGGTGTCATTGAAGGTCGGCCCTGAAGCCACTCAGTCTGTCTGTATGAAGCAGCACGGGTGACCATTTGTTGATGTCATATAGGATTATGGTCCCCCAGTCTGTTGAGATCATTGACCTGTTTGGGGGTATGAAGAAGTAACCGTGCCAGGATATCACTCAGAAATGAGAAAAGAGCCCATGCCATCACCTTGACTGCTCTGATGCTTCCCACCTTTTATGTAATGGTCTTTGACACCCGAGTGTCATCTGAGCAAACAGTGAAGCAGCAGGAGCACATTTGCAGGGTGTGGCACAGATGGGCATGAATATGGAAAAGCAGTGTGTTGTGCCTCCAGCCAAAGCGAGCTCTCATGTCTTTAGGGTGTTTTAGAAGAATGTTTGAGTAGCAAAACCCTAACGTCTTTTATGGACCTAAATCTGAGGTCCATCTCTGCAGCTAATAGATGAATCCTAATTAGGCAAAAACAAAAAAAAAACAGACACACACATAAACGATTCACTTTCATATTAATTATGGAAATAATGAAGGACGCTGTAGCAGATGTGAGACTGTGTATGGAGAGGGGGAGTGCTTAAATGTGAAAGGCCAATGGAAGATAAAGGAGCAAAGAAAGCAAAGCAAGGCAGCGTTCATGACCTGATGCATGGCTCATATTCACATCACTGCAGAGTGTGACATCGCCATCCTTCATCATCTTGCTTATTATTTGGATAGAGGCAAAGCATTTACACATTCGAGGAATCACATAAAGTAAAGTGATATAAAAACACCATTCAGTCGAGATGAATGCTGTACAGCTGTGTGTATTTGACCTTTTGATCATAACTTCAAGGGTCACCTTCCCCAGTTAACAAAAATAATAGTATTTTCCTCGTGGCATGCAGTTATTTTATTTTGTGTTTGCTCGTAAGTAAGCCTGTAAATCAGCCTAAGGCACAGCATTGTAAATAAGCAGAAAATGCCTCCATGTGATTTGAGTGCACTGACCCTTTAATGTGTTTTGTCAGTTGATATTTGACTAAATACTGAAAGGACAAAGTTCAGGGGGAATATTCACATGACAAACTGCAGCCGAATCCTCTTCCAGTGTAGGTTGAAGGGCAATTTGATGTTTTTAGATTAAAAGGGGGCTTATTGCCCTCATGAACAGCTCCATATTTTTTAGGAAACTACGCAAGTATCTTTGCGTGATTCACATGATTCAAAATATTCATAATCAGTACTTATCTTATATCGGGCCTTAGTGCCTTTTAAATTGATCCTCTGTCTGAGCTGTTTGAACTCCTCCCTCTGTAAAAGCCAAAGTCTTCCTTCCTTTCTCTGTTGCCCCACAGAAACACAGTTTGAGCCTACATGTGTTCACCCTTGTAACAGGATACAAATGACAGAGAATAAGGAAAAGCGTAGCGACCCCGGCAGCATGGAGACCATTCATAAACCATTTTCCGTTTAAAGAAGTCATCCTAATAGGTCGTTTCTTTACGTCTGACATGTTTCTAGCACCATTTCTATTGCTAATGCTTGTTTATGTTTTTGTTATGATTTTGCCTCTTTTTGTTTCTCGGTTTTTAAATTCATTCATTTTGTGGTCACTTTTGAGTTATGTTATGCCTTTTTTTTTGTTTTCTGTTTCTTTTTTTCTTTCTGCTGTTTGATCAGTGGCTCACACCACTCTGGCAGTCCCCTGGCCCGTGGTGCCAGATACTGTATGTCTGCTGACTCCTCCAAGGTGTACACCATCCCCCAGACCAGCAGCTCAGGGCCAGAGCTGGTACAGGGGTCCGGGCTTGGGCCCGGCTCAGAGGCTTGTGGACAGGCACGCACACAGTCCAGTTGCAAATTCACAGTGGGCGCGAAGGCGACTGATGATGATGATGATGATGCCGCCCACAGCACTGAGGAACCTCCCAACATTTCAGAGTGTGGGTGAGTGTATGTGAGGGTGAAAGCAAGAAGAGCATGTGTGAGAACATCAGCAAATGTGCAAAAAAACTACAAAAACAAAGGTTTCAGCTCACGTGCTTCACAGCGATTTTATCACTAGCTAGTAGGCACATTTAAATAAAACACCCTTTAATCGCGCTCTTGTCAGCACATTTTTCTCCGTCTTACTGCTGCATCTCCACCTCAAACCCAACGCCACGATCAGCCTACACAGAGTGGCCTTGATTGAAGCAGACAGCCACAAAATAAATAAGCTCAGTGAAGCTGCGGACATAATACACTTGGCACATGTCACTTACGGTTATTGATCGCTCCCGTGAAGCCGCGTCCCTGTGGATCGCCAGGCTCGACCATCTCTGCTGGGAGCCAAGCATCAAGACACACACAGGAACACGCACGCAGTCGCACATGTAGTCTGAGGACGCCCATCTGCACAATAGCCTGTATCGCACAGAAGAGGAATGTATGCAATCCTCAGTCTGTGTGAGCAGTGATGACTGACTGTATCTGTCGGGTGATTAAATGGTTTTGCTGTAGAGAACAGAGAGCCATTGATGGTGAAAGCGAAACAGCTTTTACGGTGTGAGTGTAGCTGTGTGTGTGTGTCTGTCTGTGTGCACTGATTTGGAGGATGTTTGCGAGCGGGGCGTGTTTTGCAAGAGAGAGTGTGAGATTTTGCCCTGGAAGGAACCCCGTGCTCCAGCTCCCAAGTAATTTCATTTAGGCTGTGAAATTTGCTACTTACGGTTGTGTGATTGATCGCATGCACTGAAGTCATCTTCTGCCGACTTATGAAAAAGCTCCGTAATTCAGTTTACCCACCCCATTGTTTGTTTATATATTCCTACCGTTTTATTTCATCTTACATAACAGCGCCTCGTGATAAATGGCCTAATATTACTCACAGATATTGTCCTAACATAATGAAGTTTCTCTTTCCCCCCAATTCTAAAAAGTTTTCTCATTTGTTCTAACGCTGTGTGTGAGGCTGGATGTGTAACGGTGCTTCTAACCGTGGGCTCTTTCTTTCTTGCTTCTGCTTCTTGTTTCAGAGGAGCGGAAAGCTTGTTAACCTTCCTTCTCACAATGCTGTCTGAGCGTTCAAGGTACACAGTTAAGAGTGAACCCTGTGGTCCTGATCTGACACCGCCTGCTTACCCCGCACACTGCCCCGCCCTCTTTGTACCCCCACTCCTCCGGTGTCAAGTGCTGGTTCTGCCTTGTGGACCATGCTCAAAGTGGACAGCAACCAGCTGTGCATGAGTGACTGTGACATTTCCACTACAGATTCATACTGCTGTGTACTGTCCATCTAATATCTTCTCAGTCTCTCTGCTTAAATCTCTATTAGAAGTTTAATTTTAATAACCACAACCAAAGCTATCATCACAATTGCTTCCCTTTGGTTATGTTTCGTCTGGGACAGAGTATTCCCAGCTTTATACATGCATATTATAGCTATGACTCCACCTCACATTATCTGAAGGCCAATAGAAACACTTTTCTATCTGCGATTAAACTATTTGCTTCTCTATGAGTGCTGTGAACCATTTCTGCTACATTTTAGCTCGGCATATTAGCCAGCTAACCTATGAGCGTGGAGAAATATTTGAGTCAGTCCAGATACTGGAAGGCATGGTGGTGTGGCGGTTAGCAGCGTCACCTCACATCAAGAATGAGGCCCTGCGTTCAAATCCAGAGCAAACTCTTAAATAGCTGTAGGTGTAAAAATTGTCATTCTCTCTGTTAGCGGAGCGACAGACTAGCGCCCTGCCCAGGTTGTGTACCCTGTGTACCCCATGACAACCTCACATTGGCATGACAGACAATGAATTGAATGGTTGGATGGCTGGTTACATTATGTGTGGGGTCCTTAAAATTTTTCTCCACTGTTAAGAGTCTTTAGCCCAAAAGAAAAACGAAGAATCTTGTGCACCACTGCATCTATGGCTTGTCCATGATAGGAGAAACGAAAGAAGGCATCACAATATTAAGCATCAAACAGCTATTAACACTTATACTTCCTTCTCTTTTGGATCTCTCTGCTGTTTCTAACTGGACTAAGTCTAAAATAATTTTATCATCTTTTTCACAAGCTCTCAGACTTTGTATTAAAAACAGGTGGATGAAAACGTACATTCTTTCTTTTTCACTGCCCCTTGAGAAGTTAATTATATACTGTAGGCATTTAACAGATGCCAGTGCACAGCAGAGTAATATTTAACTCCAAAGATGAGGGCTTTAATGTTGTTCCAGTTTTCTCATAATTATGGCTCAATTACTTCAGGCGAAAATGGACAGGTCAAGGTAGAGTGGGAAAACAGAGGACTTTTTGCTGCAGTTTTTGGCATCAAACAACGAGTGTACAAAATTCAGTTAACTGCACTTGTTTTTCTGCCAAACACAATAGAGCAAACACGGTACATATATTTAGGAACTGTTCTCCGTGTTGCCAAAAGCTTAATACAGTGCGGCTCTCAGCAACAGTGTCTGGAGGTAGCCGTCATAACTAGGCTGTCCCATCGTCTAACCATCTAGCGAATCTCCCTGCGGCCACCTAACAGCCTGCCAACAGCACTCAGTGTGTCAAGCTCAGGCTGCTCACTTAAAGCAGAGGTCTCACAGCCACATGACTTCACCAGCCTGGTCGGGCACATCTTCCGTGCCCTGTAACCTCTCCCGTAAACTCTCCACACCCTCAGAATCATTTAAATGTTCTCAGAAAAAACCCTGCTGACAACCACACTGCTAACAAAACATGTCACCTCTTGTGGGTCCTTCTCCAGCCCTGTCTAACAGCTCTCATGTCTTCCTCTGTTGTTGTTGTTGTGAACACTCCTTTAGTTGGTGCTTTCCGCTTGTTTCTGGAAGTCATTTCTGTCCCAAACCCTTGTTTTCCCTTCTACCTCTCACAGTGCTTGGCTGGATTTTATTTGCAGCCTGTGTAATCATGGTTTTGGCACAGTGATGTGGAACAGGGTAAGATTTGGAAATAAGTTCCCTCCCTTGGTCCTTTTCCATCCCCGTTATCCTGCATTCACCTGACTAGCATGGAGCAGGGAAGCGCCTGATGTTGGCATGATAAGACGGATCCCTGTCCCTGTTCTCTAAGTAGCTGGGATTACCTCTGAACCCAAGCTGTGATGGCTCCAAGGCTGCCCCCCTTGGGATGTATTTTGTGTGACCCTAGTGATGAGCCATGCTCTTCTTTGCCCTCTGTGTCATCTACAGGCAGTTGTACGCACAAGAGGCCGCATGCCGGCTCCAGGCCACTGAGCGGGATGGAAAATCTCTGCAGAGACTCTCGAAAGAGGAATACGTTAAAATGATGCTGCCCGACAGCCCGCCAGGAGAAGACAGGAGTCGCAAGGTGAGGGCATTAATGAAACCCTAACCTCTAATTTATCATTATTATGATGTCCTGTGTAATATGCAAATAAATGTCACTTCACAATTCTGTTATTATACTGACACGATGTATCTACAAAAACCTCAGACTTCCTCCTTTTGAATAAATCCAGTGCAGAACCAGACCTGAAAATCTCTTGCTGGGAATCCAGTGAAAGCAGGACAAACATATGCTGGCACTGCTGATAGGATTCCTCCCTCTCACTCTCTCTCTGGACACAGGACCCTTTCAGTCACCACTGACTGGCACAGTGTTTGGTTAATTTAATTTCTAACAAGGGGCTGAGTTTACTCAGTCGGGATGTCATGGATTAAAGGCAGGAAGTTCCAGAGAGCACATCGATGTTTGATGTTTCTGGGTCCTGCAGTCTCTATTAATTGCATCTCGAGTTCCCTGCACCATCCCCCCCATCCATTATCTACCAGGAAGGGACTCTGGAGATGTACAAATGGGTTATTCTTGGATGCTGCTCAATTCTAATACAAATGCACTTCAGTTCCCCGGAGAAGACGGGCATGTCCTCTGTCACAGACAGGCCTCGTCCCTAACACGAAGCAGCAGTCCACTGATTCGTTTGTCTTGCCTCCAACCATCGAGCTTATGGTTTACAAAATCTGGCGCTTGCAAGACAACTAGGCAGCGTCAGCACCTGTCTCAAATGAAAGCATGCGTGTTGAGCTTGTTTGGATACACATAATATTGATGTAACTTTGCTTCCCACGAATAAAGAAAGTAGCCAGTACAAAGGTGCACTGATTGTCAGATTCACCGAGCAACAGGACCTCTGCTGTCACACTCTCCTGTCAGATTCGGTGTGATAATGTAGTGCGCGGAGCAACAATCTGGGAGGGCACGGGGCCAGGCACTCCAAAGCATATACACATATGTTCCCAATAAACACATACTGTTCTTTTCTGGGAGCAGCTTCACTGTGTTTTCAGTCATCAGCTGGCACATAAAGTCATCAAATCACAGTAATTATATGGTGCTGGAAACACGGTTGGTTTATTTCTAATTCTTATATAAAACAGTCTGAACTGATGATTTGTCAGTTAATGAAACAGATTCTATAGTAAAGGTTAACGCATGTGTCATTTCCGGTACTCGCCCGTGGCCTTTCTTTGTGTGGCTGAGCAGGTGCAGACAGATTTTCCTTGCCAGCCACAGTGTCCGCTGGGACGACCTTCTATGGACAGGCAGACCATTGTGTGGCTGACGTAAAGGAAAGGCCGTTCACAGCTTATTTGCCCACAGTGTTCCTCTTTTGAACCTCCTGTGGGAAAGAAAGAAGAACGATCTGAAAAGGTGGTTGTCCAACACATCCTCCCGAGTGGCACGTCATTGGGTCTTTGTTTGGTGCGGGCAGCGAAGGAAAAAAAAAAAAAGTCGGGAAAATCAGGAAAATCTAGGTGGATGTGCCACTGCTGCTTTGACTGATAAGAGTGTTGCTGCTCTACAAAAGAATTCAAAGCCCGTACAGCCCCGAAGCAGGCTGAGACTGTTGCCAGCTGAGGTGGATTTAGGCATACTATAATAGTCAATAATCTTGCAGGTTTTATTAATACAGTATTTTCTCCAAATGTGCACAGCAGGTACAGTTAACCAGTGCCAGGATGTGTTCAGAGAGCTTGTTTTGATGTACTAAATAGATTGCTTTATAAAGAAAAACATTAAGCCCAATTGGAATTGCTTTCATTTGCCGTGACTCCATTTATGGGTGCTCTAAATCTGCGCTCTTATGCTTTATATAGGATCAGCAAATCCTGTTTTAAAGTTGTTTTGATGAGCGAGAGCCTCGGGAGTCTAATCTTGTAAAGTTGGGTGGGAAAACTTGCAATAAGAGACAACCTTGTCAAGCTAAAGCCTCTGAGGTGGTCTTTAGAGGCAGTAGATGTGCATTGCTTTGAATTCCTGTATATATTTCTCACTTTAAAGACAGACAAGATGTTTGTTAAATTCTCACCGTGGGATTTGTCTTTGAAATGGAGATGGCTGGGTGTTGGCTTTGCGGGTTTACTAGTCTAGTGTAGGTTACAGCTGGGAAGCAAGGGGAGACGTTTACCCATCTGGCCAAATGCTCCGCATATCATTTGTGGCTACTTTTGATGTCACTGCTGCTGCATTTATGTTAGCTGAACAGCAACATAACGGATGGGATCTGGCTTTGTGGTTTTCTGGGTTTAAAGAGGAGATGCTCTGTCAAAACTGTGGCCAGCTGTAACACAGTGGTGTCTTTGCAGTGATATCCCATGTAATTCTCTCTCCAAAAGACATCCCCTCAGGGTGATGCTACTTTTCAAGCCCTAACAGCTTTTATAATTGTTTATTCTGACCTCATGCTCTCTTTGATCACAGCATGCATCGTTCTGATTTGGCCCCTGCTTGTCTCTGCTATATGAGCTCTCTAATTGCACTATTATACCAAAATACTGGAAGGCAGGCAAACTTCAGATGTGCAGACAAACACAAGACAGAATATTGTTTTATACTTGCTTTTTTGTTTAAGTTAAATTACCCACAATTATCCTTGTAATTGTCCAGATGTCAGTCTCACACATGTATACGACACTGTGGTTAGTTCACCCAGTTGTCTGTATCCTCCTCACCATCTTAAAGACTTCTCGACTGCCTCCTCATGTTTTTTTCCTTTCCGTCTCGCTTTGTGAAACCTGCACTCTGCTTTAGCATTAAACTCAGCGACTACTTGTTGCCACAGTGCAGTGGCTTCTGTCACCACCTCCTCCAGCCCTGTTATTCCCCGTCTTCCAGACGTTCTCCAGCTGTGCTCAATCCAACTGCATTTTCCTGAACGCATAGACTGTAAATGATTCCTGCCACCTCTCCCCCGGATGTTCCCCGTTTAGCCCACCCAGTCGCCCAATCGTGTATGCCTCCTGTGCCGAGGAAAGGCAGAGCATGGGGAATGTGCATCTAGGATTTTCTTTGTTATGAGTAATGCTTGACAAATTGTTCTGATCTTCTCAGGTATCAGCAGTGGACAGCTTGTCCCCCAGACGCTCGCTGTACCGAACGCTGTCCGACGAGAGCGTGTCCAGTAACCGGAAAGGCTCGTCGTACGCCAGCTCGCACAGCTCCATGCTGGACCAAGCCATGCCTAACGACATCCTATTCAGCACCACCCCACCTTACCACAGCACGCTGCCGCCTCGCATGATCCACAACCAGGGCGCGTCCAACCTGCGGAGTAAGTACACCAACGAAACGCTCGACGGGCCGGCTCGCTGAAAAAACACACAAACAGAAGACAGGAAGGCTAATACACACTTTTCTCAGTGACGCTGCTGGATTATCAATCCTCTTCTCTGGCACCGGATAAGAGCCAGGATATCGAGACTCGTTCAAAGAGCCACTTGAGTCCTTGCTGATATCATAAGCACAACTGGTACACACTCCAGCAGCACTCCTCAATATAGTCATCTAATTGGAAATGGGTGAGGCTGCTCACTACTTGCAAGGGACCTGCCGCTCCGTCTGCATTAAGCAGACACCTGTCACTGCTGGCTAATATTCCCTGCTCCACTGTCTCCCAGCATCCACTGAATATGTATTAGCGATGAGAGGTGTGATGTCCTGCCTGCTGCTTTAGGATCTCTGACATGAACATGCCTATTTTTCCATGAGGAATGTCACAATGTCTGTCATACATAATGTTTCATTCACTCATCAGTCCCTGCCAGCCACCCCTCTCTGTCCCTCCTGTCTCATTTTCGTACCATCCCTTTTCCATCTCCCGCTGCTGTCCTTAGATAGAAAATGGCTTTTGGAAAGATGGTTTTTTTCTCTTCGGCCTCTTCTGCCTGTCAGTCTGATGGATTCCTGATTGTTTTGAAGGGTAGTTGAGAGCACAGGCTCTCCCTTTCCCGTACTGAAGCAGCCCCAATTTGGTAAACAGTGAATTACTCAAGCTCCAAGACGCTGGGTAAATTGAAAGGAGAGTGTCAGCGTCACCTCAAGCTCTTTGTGTCTCTTCTCTGCTTCTCCACTCATGCTTTTCTAAATGCCTCTCTGCAGAGTGGGAGCTTGTTTATTGCATTCTCTGTCTTTCAGGGCTGAGGGGGGGCAGGAGGGACAGAGGGGAGGGAAAGGAGTTATTGATTGAAACATGAAGACATTCACTTAGACAAGTCGTTTATCGCCCCTAAGACAGCGACTCGCGAGTGCCACACAGAGAAGGTGGTTTTAATGTGACTCTTGCCTATCATGCTGTTACACAAATCCAGAACTTGGCTTTTCAAAAGGTTCCCAACCTGCTGGAGGATTTCGCCAGATGAGCGAATATAGATTAGGCGTTTGGCAGGAGTTAGGCTAGACAAAAGCCATCCCGCTTCAAATTGTCTCTCTGGCTTCCCCCCCCTCACGTCCCCCTCCCCATTCCTTTCCCCTAACCCCTTTTGTCTGATGCAAACTGATGGGTGACTCAACGATTAGCCCTAAACTCAGGCCAGGCCTAGACACTGATCGGCGTGCCTGCCTGTCTCTGCAGATGAGTTTTGGTTCTCTGACGGCTCCTTGGCGGACAGGTCCAAGTTCAGCGACCCGGGCCTCATGCCCCTCCCTGACACTGCCTCTGGGCTGGACTGGTCTCACCTGGTCGATGCAGCACGAGCCTTCGAAGGTAACCAGCCTGGATGAAGCTGCTGGCACCTTGTGTAATCCACTTCTACTCCCCACCCCCTCCTCCTGGCTGCTTAGCGTGTGTGACTGTGTGTTTTGTAATCTGCAAGTGCCCGCTTGCTTGAATGTGCAGATTTGTGTGAGCTATGTGTTTTCTTCTAGTTGCTCCTAAGTGCTTCCGGAGCTTACTTTTGGGAATCCTCCTGCTTTTTGCACCTCTACCCCAGGCCCCTTTGCAATTTCCTATTAAGAACAAAGCCATCATTTCTCAGCACTGACATGGAGCTAATCTTCCCACCATAAGGCCAGCAAGTCATCATTCGGGTTTTCAGAGTGTTGCTGCTTTTCTGTTATGGTTAAGGTTTCGTTTGTTAAGTTTGGGATGATTTATGCTCCCCTCTTGACCACCAGGTCCGAATGTGATCTTCTGAAAGAAACAGACTTTTCCATTTCGGGGGGTTTGTTGGTATTCAGCTCTGGGACGAGAAATTTAGATATGAAGCTTTCATGTAGACTTATAGGTTGTCTTCCTGTCAAAAACTTAAAGCTGATTATTCCCCCCCCAATCGTACATTTAAACCACTCATTTGCATCGTAATCTCTTTTCTAATTTAAATACCTTTTTTGGACCAGTCTCATGCCGGTGTATTTCCCATTTATCACAGACCTGCGCACATGCCATGAGTATTTTTTTTTTCTTTTTTTCCACCTTGACCCTGGACCAGTGAGCAGGCAACATAGCATGTAATCATTTGTTTGTCATAATTAACGAAGTCTTTTGTGGAGATTCTCCTTTGATGCATTTCTTGCCGCACGGCCCGCAGTCTTGTCATTTAACGAGAGACGAATCAGCAGAGTTGATGCACAGTCTGAGTGGCAGCGGCAAGGCAGTTGTCACGGCAGCCGCGCTGGCCCAGAAAAAACGCTGTGTAAACCAGGGGCCTTGTTGCCGAGCAGAAAGTGGCTCGGGGCTGCCATTGTGTCATGTATGTTTAACCAGCTTTGTTTAGAGCCAGTGGGGAAAGAGGCTGGCTTAGATGTAAAGCATTCACGACATTCATAACCCTTAGTCATGTGGATCCTGAGAGACGGCTCATTTTTATGATGCAAAAAGACAGTTTGGATTGGCTTGCACTATATAAAAAAAAAAACTACTGTGCTCTCTTTGACTTTTGCAAGAAGCAGCAGATGGAAGTGAAAATAGGCTTTTTTTTTTTGTAGATTTGAACAACAAAGCATGTTGGTGCAGTCGCTGAATGCTTTCGCATGCAGTGTGCAGCATAGATTCTCTTCTCTGTAATCTGTCTTTCTGTCCAGTAAGTATGAACCCCGGGTCACGCAAAAACGGCAAGCTGCTTTTCTGCACTTGTCTCCGCTTTTCCTAGAAGTCTTTAATCTTTCTGATGCAGCCATCGAATATGAAGGAAGATGTTCATTCATATGCAAATGAAGACTTGCTCTCCCGTCCCTGACTCATCTGAAAAACCAACTTTGGGCTCGGCCAGCTTTTGTCTTCGAGTGGATTAGCTTTCATTTGGGGGCTAAATTAATGGAAGGGTTTCCTTAATCTTTTTCTATGAATATGCAGAACCACCCCCCCACCCCCCCACCCCATCTTTAGCCTCAGATAAGGGCTTGAGAAAGACAGATTTCTAAAGAAACAAGCATTAGGCCTTAAAACTGAGCAGGCCCCAAGGGTAACATGCCAAGTTTGGGTTTTCCATGGAGCTTTGACAAAGCTTAAGGGCCTGATATGGTAAAACAAGCATGACTGGTGTCCTACAGCTCCCTGGGATCCAGCCCATTATGAGCCAAACAGCTGTCAGAGGAAACTTGGAGGGGTGAGGGCACTGGAGCAACACCCCAGGGACTGACTTTATCTGTAGTAGTCTAGAAATGCTCTGTTTACTACCTTGTTCCCTGCTGTCCGGTTATAGATCTCTCAGCAAGGCAGGACTGCTTTTGCAAGTGCACTAAACCAGAGCCATCCATTCATACAAGCCATGAATGAATCGTCCCATCCACTCGGGAATGCGTGTGCAAGTGTGTTTATCTGTTCTGTTTTAGTTTAACAGATTTCCTGTTTTCGATGTCAAAGGCAGATCATGACCCATTACTTCACCTGTTCTTTTCCCAGACCAGCGCGTGGCGTCCTTCTGCACCATGACTGACATGCAGCGGGTCGAGGCTCTGCAGATCTCGAGAGAGCTGACCAGACGGGTGGTGGAGGCGGAAGGAGCGGCGCTGGGAGCAGAGTAAGCTTCACTGACACACAAGAACTAAGTGAATATTGACTGTTAGCTAAACTGTCATTATGGTTTCATTTCGTGTAAATAAATGACTCTTGGCACCGTCCTCTTCTGTGTTACCCCACAAACAGCTCCCCCTCCACACTCACTGGCAAAGTCAACCAGTTAGAGGTGATCCTGAGGCAGCTGCAGCACGACCTCAGAAAGGTGAGTCCGCGTCATCCTTTTGTCGATTATGTTTTTGTCGCCTTGGTGCGCTCCTTTCGCACATTAGCAAACGACACATGTCGGTGTCCCACAGCTCAGATGAACAGACACTGAGTAATGCGTGCCCCGAGGTCTGTGTAATACAAACTCATCCACTTAATTCAATATCCCGCTTCCTTTTCTTATTGTGTCCCAGCCCAACGTTTCCCCACCTACACTAATGTGCTTAAAATGGAGAGAGGAAATGCGCTTTTATCAGAACAGAGGAAGGGCTGCTTTGCCATGTTAATGCCTCCCATTTACACCACGCTGACGAAAGACGGATGTTCTTGTAATAGCAGGGCTTTTATCAGCCTCTTTTGTATCCATTTATTTTTTGCCTCATGTGTTTCGCGTTGATTGCGTGTGTTCACGTGTGTGTGTGTGTGTGTGTGCCCTGTTTTCAGGAGAAAGAGGATAAGGCGATGCTACAGGAAGAGGTGCAGCACCTGAGACAGGACAACATGCGACTGCAGGAGGAGAGCCAGACCGCAGCGGCGCAGCTCAGGAAGTTCACAGAGTGGTTCTTTCACACCATCGACAAGAAACCCTAAGACACAGAGCGAGGGAGGGAGAGAGAAAGCATGATGGCCTTTATTCCTCACGGGCACCCACTCTACTCCTACTTAAGACTCCCAGATGATCCACAGGCAAACAAACTATAAAACAAACCATTACCAGCTCCCAAGAGTAATCAAGACGCTTTCAAACAACCCCATGTTTTGGAGACTATCGTGCAGTCCTGGGTGAGAAACCTGAAACCCCGATCTGGACTTTTACTTTTGGGATCGTCCTCTGTCTGAAGCGCAGGGTCGTGTCTGATTTAACTGGTGAACGAGGCTCTTGGGGAAACACCACCCCCACCTCCATCTCCAGCACTAAAGAGGAATCAAGAAAGACGACCCAGGGCCCCGCCTGTCCACGGGATCTTCTTACAGTAGAGGAATGTAAAGCTCATTTACTGTAGTGAACATATAATCTACCTACCTACGTATGTCGCATCGGTCTACTGTACTGTATACTCAGCCGTACTGTATCATACTGCACACACTGTCACACAGCTGTTTCTGTGCCGGCCGTCACGGACACAGGAAAGTATAGAGGGGCGAGGCGAGAGGGAGGAGGGGAGGAATGTACTGGACATAATGAAGTGGTACTTACTGTCTGCTTGCACCAAGAGGAATCCACATGTGGCGCTCTTGAAACGTACGGCGGGGAGGGGGGGAAATGAATGTAGCTCAACTGAGATCTTTTTTCTTTCTTTCTTCTCCTGCTTTCTGGTTTCCAAAGTCGCAAAAGTTTTGAGGTTTGCTGTTTTTCAGACTTTTTGTTTCTTTGTTTTTGTTTTGTTTCTGATGAATTCCACATTTTCCTTTCCTCTGTGTTGTAATGTAGGGTCACATGGCAGTAATTTTGATGTTTTAAAGGTGCTTTTCCCTACGCACATTTGTCACTAGTTTCCCTTCACTGTCACAATGTCCTAGCAATAACAAAGTGGTAGTTACAAAACTGTGTTTTGTTTTGGTTTTTTTATTTAAATTTTTTGTTTTTAATAAAAGAAGTTACCACAAGCGTGAAGAGTTCCTGTCGAGTCGCAGTTGTATTTGACGTGTATTTATGAAACGAGGAAGAGACTGTGCCTAAAACTCTTGGTTGTCGGTGGATTGTTTCTCTTTGCTTTTAGTCCTTTTTGTAAACACACGCCTTGTCTGTGGCTCACTGATAGGAAAAAAAAAAATGTGTGTGTGTCAGAGAGAGAGAGGTTATGTGAGTGTGTGTGTGTGTGTAGTTTATCACAGGAAAATGTGTTCTTATGCAGTGGTTTCTAGAGCATTAGAGCAAGCGCCAGTGAACCACACTTACAATGCCAAATGTGTTTATTTTCTGTACATACCTGCCACAGAAGTGTCTTGTATTTAACACTATTATTTAAGCTTATTTAACCTAAAGTTGTTTATTTTATTAAAGGTATTTGTTTTGTTTTTTGTTTTTTCTCCACTAAGGAGAGATGAAGCTCTGTGTATGTTGTAAAGTGTGTAGCTTGCCGGGGCAAAAAAAAAAGAAAAACAACAACAAAACTATATATTTAAATATATAAATGATGATTTTGGAGATTCCAACATTTGGATGCTGCTAGATTAACAGTTTGCTGGTTTGTATGCTTTTAAAAACTGTCTCTCTCCATGAACTGTCTCATCCCTGGTGAGACATTGGGCGCTTTTTTTGTTTGTTTTTGTTTTTTTTAAATAAATGTAGTTGTAAAAATAAGTCTTTTGTGCTTCGTCAGTCTTTCTTCTCCCAGCCTCGGTACCAAAGCAGCGATTTGAGTTTTTTCAGTCTGGTTCACTGCTACTGCTGTTTGAAGTCTGTTTCAAAGAAATGGTTTCAGGAAATAAGAGAAACTTATTCAGCCTCTTGCCAGGGGTTAGATGAGAAGATGCATGCCACCTATTTACAGTCAAAGAAAGTTTTCACACGACTCTCTGCAGTCCTGTGAAAAGCTAAGCACACTGCATGACTCAGTAGTTTGCTGCCAAAGGTGCTTCTACAACAACGTGAAGTGCTCATTCTGTATGCTCGCCTGTATGACTGATGGAAGTCGCTTCAGTTCACTGAGGTTTACAGGCAGTCATGTATGCACAGCTCTCTTAAAGTCCCACCACAGCATTTCAGTCAGACTCTGGTTGGACTTCGACTAGGCCGTGCAACACCTTGATTTTTTTTCTTTTTGTTTAGCCACTCTCCTGTACCTTTAGTGGTGTGCTTGGGATGATTGTGTAGAATAATTTGGTATACAGAGGAGTTTGTGGTCGACTCAATGATCGTAATGTGCATCAGTCCTGTAGCTGCAAAGTGAGTCCAAATCATCATCTTTCTACCACCATGCTTGACAGTTGGTATGAGGTGTTTTTACTGATTTGCTGCATTTGGTTTTTCCCAAACGTGGTGCTGTGCCGACATCTCTAGTTTGGTCTCGTCTGTCCAAAGGTCATTTTTCCAGAAAGCTTGTAACTTATTCAGATGCACTTTTGCAAACCTAAACTGTGTTGTCATGTCCTTTTTAGTTAGGAGAAGCTGTCTTTTGGAAAAACCTTCAAAACGAGCTGTACTTGTTAGGTGATTTAAAAAAAAAAAAAAAAAAAAAAAGTGTCATGAACTTTAAGATTTAACATGCTAACTGAGGCCTGTAGCGTCTGAGATGTAGCTCTTGGGTTTTTAGTTTCTTTGAGCATAGCATGGTCCTTGGGATGAATTTGACTCCCAGACTGTCATAGTGTTAACACACACTTAGTATAGTATTAAATTATGTACGAAGCTCTCTACGTGGATCTATGTTCAGATCATGAAAATCATTATTTACATGTATGCTGCATGTAAGTAATAATGGTTGTGTTGCATCACCTTTTTCAGCAACACTAAGTAAGAGTTTAGGAACTGAAGAGACACATTTTGTATGTTGAAAAGTAAAATGTTTCTGTATTTCTTGCTTGGAAAAAGGGGTTCAGCAGCTCAGGGTGTTTCCTTTTTTTTTTTTTTCTTTCTTCTTATTTGATGTACTTTTTTCTTTCTTAATGGGCCAAATGTTTGAGGTGGCTGACAGGTCGACACCACTGACTGCTCTGGTCTGACGGCTGGATCATGTTTTGTATTTGTATTGTTCTTTACAACAGATCCAACTGTGAAATATTCCTGAGTCAGTGCAAAAAATTCTACTTAACAATTGGGTCTCATCATCATGGCCATTCACTATTGGCTATTGTGCTCGGTGTCAGAAATTCTCAGGTTTCTCTTAATCGTTTCATGTTATCATTTCTTGTAGATGATGAAATCCTGTGATTACTATTATTATTTATCTATAAGCATACATATTTATGTTAAGAACATTTATTCTCAGATTGTTCAGTTGTTTCCCATGCACTGATGAACCCCACAAGTAACTTGCATAATTTAACCAGTTGCTTAAAAAACGACAACAACAATTTTAAAAAGTGCAGCTAGATGTACGTACCTCCTTTTGTGTAGATGAGTCACTATGTTAAATCCAGTTTACCCATTGTAGCAGCTTTTGTGCTTTGTATCTTAATTCTCTCTTAATTCACTTGGTTGAACACATTTAATATAACGACTGATCTTTACTGATTTTTGTAATTTGGCATTGTTGACCAAAAGGGGGGAAAGAGAGAGAGATTAGTCACTTCTGTTTCCCCCTTTCTTGATTCTTTTCTAAATGGCTGAAAGAAATTGAATAAAGTGTTTATAGCTGACGCACAAATAAGTTGGACCGTTTTCGGGGGTTTGGAGTGAGTCTGCCTCTGTGTGTGAGAGCCATCTTCATCCCTGCAGTAGCTGTTCTTCAGCAGTCGTCATGCAGCTGCTGCAAAGGGATTAGAACAAATTAGCTCCTGAATATTAGTTCATAACTGTGCCATTACCCATTCATAAGCTCTAGTTGGGTTGGGTTTTTATTTATGTTTATGTTTGTTTGTTGCACACACAAATGCTCGTTGCTGAGAGACAAGAATCCGGCACCTGCACAGGGACCTAAAGAGGCAACCTGGAGGTTACCAGTGGCTACGATAACTTGTGTTTATTTTAGCTTCTTTTTGCTTTCTAGCTGCACATCCTAACATAGCCTTGCTTTGGGATACTCTTGTTTTAAAGACTGTTTAAAATAATTAAGCATTTAATATCAAACTGTTATTTGATCTATGATGACATGAGAGTGGCCACATAGTCCACAGCCCACTGGATTAAAATTAAGGTATTTAAGGTATGTATTTATTTTTTAAACCTGTTCCCATAGTGAATCATGGTATCAGGCCCCATTGATGATGGCTTTCTTTCTCTACTCATGCACACGCTTAACTCAAGGTGAGTGTATTTAGCAGCTGATTGGACTAACTCCAATCGCCCTTTTAGGAACAGGAAACTGTTCAGATCTTTGAGTTAATCAACTCAGTTTATATTTTAAGCTCATCTTGGTGAACCTGGTTCCTGAAGTAGGGGCCCTGGTCCAGCTTTTTCAAAATACTTTTATTAAAAAGAATAAATTTAAAAAGAAAAAGAAAAGTTTTAACATTTGACCTGTTGTATTTGTGCAATTTTCAATAAAAAAAAGACAGTATTTAGAGATTGGATCTGTAAATCACTGCGTTCTGTTTCTGTTTATAGTGGTATCAGGGACCCTTAGTCCTAAAACTGTAAAAAATGTGGGTTCCTATACACAACATAAAGGGGTAACTGAGTATGACCTTACACTCTTTATATAATTACATCATGTATTCTTACAGGGTCATCTCAATATTTAACTGAACAGCATTTGTTAGAGCCAGAATAACAAGGAACAAAAGTCCTGAGAGTCAGATATTTTTAACTGAAGTTCTTAAAATTTGTCATAAGCAATGATTAAAACATTTAAACTAACAGACCCTAGATAAGAAAAAATCTTTTGTGCACCTAGTGGGAAGAGGCTACTGCATGTAGACTCAGTCACAAAAACCTGTTCTCCAGGTTTGAACAAGAGACAAAGAGCTAATTTGTTGCGGTACGTTCGTTAAGCTCCTGCAAGCTAAAAAAACCAAGGATGACAACCTTTACTATGAGACTTTTTCATGCTCTATTTTGTAAACAGCAGGTGCGCTAAGACTCTCCAATGGAAACATGAAACCATAATGTGTTTGTGACTTGATTCCCAGTGAGTTGGTGTGCTTTAAATAAATGACAGATGTTGCTTTCACTGCAGGGACGCTGAAAGACTCGCTGAATAATTAATCATAAGCCTTTTTGGGTGCTGAGCAAAAAAAACCCCAAAACAATTAAATTTGTTTGCGACTTCCTGCATAAACCTCCAGCCCAGCTGCTGGAGTGTGGCCCAATACATCATGTCCTCCAGGGGATTGGGGGGTATGCTGCTGCACTGAATTGTGGGTAGAGTTGTTCAGGCCAGATTTTTGGCTGGATACATTTCTTTCACCTCTCTAACTGCATTTACCTGTGAAGGAACTGGAGCTAGTTGTTGTTAGTGTGTTTGAAGTTTGTGTCTCAGGTTACAAAGCAATAAAAAGTGTTTAAAAAGGCAAGCCATGTAAGTCTGAAGGCTTTATGAATGAACCCGGAGCTTAGATTACAACACACTCTATTGTGACTCTCCTGGGAGGCTCTTGATCTCTGTCTGACCTCTCACCTCCGTCGGGCCACGCCACACCAGAGATACCTGGATGGTCATATGGGCGTGTTTTAGGCGAGCTCCGGGTTTGGCCGGGATCAGCATGCAGCGAGATGAGGTAGTTAATCTACACGTGCGCGTGCAATGCCAGGACAGCAGATGGGAGCTCACACTGGCACAAAGCTAAAGTGTTGCCCGTTTCAGATAGAGGAGGAGTCCGGGGCTTTTTGTGGACTTTGACCAACAACTAAGGAGAGGTGCCCAATGACTTTGGCGTCGAGCGATGTTGGTGGACAGAGGCCGGATCGGCAGCAGAGTGAAAACAAGCTGTGGCAATCCATGCGCAGGACTAGTCCTGTGATGCAGTGACATGTTGGAATTTCATTAGCCTTGAAAAATATGCTGACAAGCAGTCATGCAAACCACATTGATTTCTCAAAATGTGACTGTGTCAGCAGTTAAAGGAAGAAATGCTGGCGTTCCTCTGCCATTCAGCAGCGGCGGTCATGCGCTACACAGTTTTGCTGCTCATCACACATAATAACATGTGACTGGGACACAGTTGTCCTGCTTCCACATTCCCACAGCAGATGCTCCCTTGCTGTGAGTGCCACCCTGGTGGTGATCATGTTACCCAGAATAAGGTTCAGTATGCCCAGAGCACAGCTGGCAGAGAGCGCAGGGAGCGAGGGGGGGAGTGGGGCTTTATCGACTGCGAGCGTAGGTCAGTGTGGAGTAACTGCCTGCAGAATATCAAATATCAGCTTTAGCTATCAGCTTCTTTAAGAAAACATTGATTGGATTTTATGTTTCTGGTGGATTTATGTTTTTTTTTTTAAAAATCTCCTCCAGCATTGTGTGGAATAGTTCAGAAATATCACAATTCCTCTTGCTG